GAATCATAGTGAGGCGGCGCAAGTAGTGGCCAAGCCAGGATTGAAGCTCCGAACTGGTCTCTCATTTGATAAGATTTCTAGAGAAATATGGACAGTATATCCTTACGCAAAACTCTTAATTTAGATCTACTGCCAATAATGGACTGGCTGATGGAAGCAAACGCCCAGAAGTAGACAACTCTGTCCAACTCTGGAGAGGAATTGTATTCTCTCAGGTCTTTACCAGATCACGTACATCGATAGATACATTGAGTGATTAGTTGAGAGGTTCTTATGTTTATATTCACCTTCTAGCTCGGAGCAGGTACCAAGTGATTATTAACTGCTTCTATATATGACGAACAAATTATAGAATGCAATTCATATTTGACATCATTCAGATCATTTTAACTATGCTAAATAAAATACCCAATTTAATACAAAAATAATGGATTTTTTTCTTTACTTGATTTAAATGATTTATGTACCCTTCGAAGTTAACGGCGTTGGAAAACAACAGAGATAGAAGTATAAAATCGCTGCCTTGAAAATAAAAGCAATTATTCGATAAAACAGCTCATTGAGGGTCAGAAAGGTAAAAACTAAAAGAACATGATTATATGTATTTGCAAAGTTATGCGATGACAGCGATAAAGTTGTTTCCCAACCAAGCAATAGTTCTTTCTTAAACCATGAAATTCAATGCAGTGAAATTATTCCTGCCGGCACAGTCGATATTCAATTCTCTTATTTACCATACTCTCCGACTTCAGGCGCAGTTAGGCATAGATACAAACAAAAAATGTGTGATTGCGATGGTGTATATACTTTGTTGTGTTTGGTCGTGTCCTGACAATTTTTAAAGCACCACTTCTCATTAATGTCAAAGAAACTGAGTTTTCCAGTTTATACTTGTATGAATGAAATGAATGTGATTCGAGAGCTTCGAGGGTCTGCCTACTCCATTGCATGAGTATGTATGTGTATGTTGATGAGTAATATTACAGACAAAGTGAACTTTTTTATTATGTTAACCCCTTCTAAATATGAATAAAATCTAAAGCTTTGCTATGAGAAGTCTGATTGCCGCTTAGCTTTCAAGAAATTATTTTTGTTGGTTCAGTATATCTATAATGGAATACATCCAATTCGATGCGATTTAAAGGTTCTAAAGAGTAATTATTTTACAAAATTATTTTCAGGAAACGAACCGAAATTGTGGGGGGTAAGGAACTCTTCAATGGAATGTGGCGAAATTTGTTACATTACCATGACAGTTTACATAAAATACTCTCCATTGATGGAATATTACAATGTATGTCTACGCGAATATTTAAATCTACAACTTTATTTACATAAGTTATGTTTCAACGAACATTAAAAATGTTGCTAATAATATACAAAGATATATAATAGTTACACAAAGATATAATATTAAACAAATAAAATTCACATTTGTGACTCCCACTTTGCAAGGATCAGAGGCGGGGAAATACTTTCAGGTGTTGACTAAACTTTAAATAAAACAAGTAAGAAAGGGCTAAGTTCGAATGCAACTATTTTATACTCTTGCAACTTCCAGGATCCGAAGCCGGGGCAATACTTTGAGGCGCAAAACGTCAAGCAGAGGATCGGAATCCAAGAAATTATATATAACGAGTTTTTCAATAGGGGCGCCCTTTTTTCTCGCTCTTCTTGATATTTCTCTTCACTAAGGATTGCCACTCCATCATTGAAACGATCCAACAACGAGTCTAAATTATTAAAATTTACTACCGAATTCGAAGTCAGTGGCCTCAACTTTAAGAGCGCTACGCCCAATTTATGGCCGTCTTAATCGTGCTGACAGGTCAACAGCGTCTAGTGGAAAAATTTGAATCCAGTACAAAATGTTCCCGTCTCTGAGGCAAAGAAGTGCCCATAATGTCGAGAATATTGCAAGGCGCTATCACATCAATTGAGGATGACCCAAATCAGTCTCCCATACGTCGTTCTCAAGCGATCGGCATCTCTGTCACATTGCTGTGTCGAATTTTGCGAAAAGATCGTAGTCTACATTCTTACAAAATCAAGATCACGGAAGAACTGAGGCCGCTTGACCACCAGAATCGTCGTATATTCAATGGCCACGATTCACCATTGCATTCCGAAAAAGTTACGGTTTGTGTGCCGGCGGCGTCATTGGGCCGTACTTCTTCGGTGATAATCAAAACCGGAACGTTATGTGAATGAGAATCGCTAGCGCTCAATGATAACCGAATATTTTTGGGTCGAATTGGATGATATGGACTTGGACAATATGTAGTTCCAACAGGACAGAGCCACAAGCCGCACAACGATTTATTAAAAAGTTTGGTGAACGTGTTATCTCACGAAATGGCCAAGTAAATTTTCTGTCTCGATCGTGGGATTTGACGCCGTTAGACTATTTCTTGTGGAGCTACGTCAAGTTTACGGTCTATAACAACAAACCAACAACGATTGATCAACTTCGTACTAATATCGAGCTTGAAATTACAGTAGTATCGGCCGATTTATGCTTGAAACCCGTGGAACCGTTTGTTCCCTGAGATTCATTAAGGTACCTCGCAAACCATCAAAAATTATATGGAGAAAAATCACCCGGATGTTATATGTTTGTCAAGTTGAGATAACTCATATATAACCATATATATGCTGTATAAAGTCACGGATTCAACCCATTGTTGATACATAGAGATACTATTTTTGGTCAAAATTCTCACATATTCGGTACCTAGGGGCTTAAACAGTTTTGGTTGGACTTAAACAACTTTTGATCTCAGGTCGCATACTCTAAAGGCATTATTCATGCAAAGTTATAAATTGTTTCTTGATTTGTGCGCTGGAAAATGAAAGAATCAAATACAATTTAAAACTGTGCTATATGGAAGTAGCCGTGGTTGTATTCCGGTTTCGTTCATTTTCGTATTGTGACATAGGAATATCAATTTCATAGAAATCGGTCGGCGATAAAATTTCGTTATTGATTTAGTAGTTTACAATACCGTTATGTGAGCAGTGAGCGAGGTTATCTTCCGATTTCATCCATTTTCGCACTGTGGTGGAGTTCTTATAAAATTTGCGCTGGCCGAATTTGGTTATAGTAGCTTTATTGGTTTAGAAGATATTTACTTTAAACTTATTAGAGGGCGGGGCCTTGACCACTTTTTCAAAATTCTTAGCCCACAGATGCCCTTGCAATCTCCTAAAGACGTTTTGTTCGCGTGGCCTCTTACTTTTTTTACAAGGAAACGCGCATGCCAAATTTCAACTACCATCTCAATTTTTACTCAAGCTACACCTTTCACGGACGGACACTCAGAAAGTCTCGTCATCCTAATCATTTACATATATTGTACAACACTATACAGATTGATAAGCCTTAGATGATAAGCCTTAGATGATACATATGTTAACCATTAGGTGAATGAAACTTTATACTCTATATCAGATAAATCAATAAAATTTATCGAGAATATTTCGCTTAGAATAATGGATTTCAATAAGAAATTAGAATCTTAATGGTGCCTGTCTTCTCTGCGCAATAATTGTTTCACCGAAGTTATAATACTCTCCACAAATACAAAACATTCCTTACAAGAACTTCAGTTTGTATGGCAGCTATACGCTATAGTGATCCGATCAAAATAATTTCTTTGGATATTCGGCATGCTAAATTCCGTGACGATATTTCGCAAAAAAAAAGCAGTTTTCCATATAAGCACTTGATTTCGATCGTTCAATGTATTATAGCTAATATATAATATAAGCTATAGTAGCCCAATATGTTGATGAGAAATGCAAAATGCAATACCTCAAAAACTGAGGCACTAGTTCACGTACATACGTGCAGAGAGATGAACCATGCTGATTATTTGTACATATATATATTAATTAATTTTTTATTCGTTTCCTTCTGGGTGTTACAAAATTCGTGGCAACCTCAATGTTCCCTGTTGAGGATATAAAAGATGAAAATTTTCGAATTTTCCAAGGAAAATTGAGATTTGAAACCTTTACAAGTAGTATTCAACAACGGAAACGATTATATTAGCTTGTCAAAAAAGTCTTGCGGTATTTTCGCTAGTTGGCACTGAGAGCTCGTAGTTCTAGTTTTATTCGTCGCATCGGTTCATATCTTTTTGGAAAGCTCATTTCACGCACTAACACGTGTTTGATTGATTGTCGTTTCTTTTAAGTCGTTCGTGAGTTATAGCTTCGCAAACATGGAGCAAAATAAAGAGAAAATACGGCATTTTTTGCAGTACTACTACGATAAAGGCAAAAATGCATCTCAAGCCGCCAATAAAATTGGTGCAGTTTATGGACCTCATACAGTTTCCATTTTAACCGCACAACCATGGTTTCAACGTTTTCGTTCTGGTGTAGAGGTGGTCGAAGATGTGCCAGGCTGCGGAAGGCCTGTCGTCGAAAATTGCGATAAAATCGCTGAATTGGTCGAAAGAGACCGGCATAGTAGCAGCCGTAGCATCGGTTGAGTCATCAAAAAAAATTTTATGAACAATTGAAAATTCAATAAAAATACCGCAAGAAAAACCGCAAGACTTTTTTGACAGCCTATTATATGGACTCAGTCGGTTACACAATCTTTCTCCGAATATATATTTTACATAAATTCTTTCAATAAAAATTTAGAATATCTGAATCACCCTACAGTTACGCAGTGCATGCGCAATGCAAGCAATAACAATATTTGAGAGAGAGAGAACAATCTTTAAAACGAAGCATACTTATAGGGGATGGAACTTTTGTTATTATTTATTTACAAATAGAACGTTGTACTATTGAAAGCAATTTCAACAGTTCTATTAAGCATAGCTTGATTAAAATAATAAATAAATGAAATTAATAATTTAAGTTAAATTTCATATATATGAAAGTATTAAAAAGTATAAAGGTCTAGCAAACCGAGTGAAAGTTATTGTAAGAGAAAAAGGCGCTGTGCAACAAATTATTTACATTACAACGCTCTCACAGGACTCGCACACTCTTTCGTCGTTTCAAGTATACAGATATTACTGAAACGCAGTTACAAGTTCCTTTTTGGGCAGTGCGGCCGTACAACTTATTTTTTACTGCCATTACTTTTTCTGAAAAGACAAAGGCAAATCTAAAATTATATTCAAATAAAGGCATAAAGCGTTAGGAGAGTAAGTTAAATGCAATATAATTCTTTATAAATTTCATTAAGTGGCAAAGAGCAGCAGAAATACAAATTGTAAGCTGGTATACTATTGCCATTAACTTGACAGATATTCCGATCGATATTTTACGGTGTAATAGTGTTTGGTACTACAGTTTTAATTGATTGGTTGATTGACGAATGGAAAAGATTTTTTTTTTATAAAATTTTCAAAGCATTTCTTGTTCTTCCATGAAATTAGTTTTTTTAGTGTTAAAAATAACTGTATTTGGCATTTCCGTTTTTTAATAGTCGAAAATGTTTGGTTTCTGCGTTGGCATTTGCAAATATGAGGCACCCCCACCCGATACCATACTATCGATGCCACCACCACCCTTACCGTCATTTCTGTTGCCGAATATTGCCACTGCAGCAGCGCTTGTGGCAACTAACGACACCAATCCATGCTATGCGCCCTCATTGTGTAACCCCCATCCAAATCCCAACGAAGGCGAGGGCATTGAATTCGTCGAATTAACTGGCACCGATTCGAAAGTATTGGAGAACACTTGGGTTTTAGGTCTCATATCGTGTTCGGTCGGTGTAATTATTTTAGGTGGACTCTTCGCGTTCATTGTGTTAAAGTGCAGAAAGTGAGTACCCACAAGGAATATACATACTTCTATACATATACATATCTAATTAATAAAAATTTGATTTTTCTTTTAGAACGCTGTTCTCCAGCTGTAATCTTTCTTATCACGATTCGAATATTAAACAAAGTGGCATGAAATCGTTGGGGGAATCTTCAAATAAAGCAAAGCCCTTTACGGCTGGTGGCATCCTGTATCCCGTTACTACGACCAATAATCGTGACACTTTGCAATCGCAATTGGCCAATGACAGTCGCCTGCTTTGGGCCACATTAACTCCGCATGGCACTAGGCACTTCATTTCGGACTATCCAGTGGGTAATGGTAATGGAACTGTTGTGCAAGATGGCCACTATGAGATTGTAGACTATCGCTCTAAAGTGCAGAATCCCACATATCGTGAATATACAAAACGTGTGCCGATAAAGGTAATAAATTTAAACTAATATCTAGAGATTGAGGCGTTCGAAAGTATACTTTGTTTGAAATTAAAGTTAGTAAGAAGGGATTAGAAATATCGTTATTTCTATAAATTAACTTCATCGGTCAGTTGTTATAAAAGCTGTACGGTATAGTGTTTGATCTGAACAATATGCTCGGAGATTGCAGCTTTGAAATATAATCTATGCCGAACTTTCGGGAGATATCTTGTTGAATAAAAAGTTTTCCGTACAAGGACTTGTTTCCAATCGTTCAGTTTGTATAGAAGACATATCCTATATGGTTCGATACAGAAAAAATGTGTACCCAATTTCACATCGATATCTCAAAAACCGAAGGACAAAGGAAGGAGGAAGAGGCATAGACAGACGGTCATGTCTAAATTGACTCATCTCGTTACGCTGATCATTGATATTTTTATGTTAACGTGTCCTTCTGTTTGTAAGAACCCTCGTAAGATACTTAATATACCCTGTTGAGGATATAAAAAGCTAGCAGTGGTATAAGTATCTATTATTTCAACAGAAAATGTTTTATTTTTAACGACGGTGTTACGGTGGACAATGTCAAACCACACTGAAAAGGTATTTCTAAGCGGTTCAAAGGCCCACAGACAAACACACAACATAAATGCGTATGCAAATTTGTTAGAGTTAATTACATTTGATTTGAGGATAAAATATTATTTAAATGTAACTAATTAAAAAAAATATATTTTCATATCCACAGTCCTTCGACAACAGTGGCTTTGTCGACTATGACTACGAAGATCCGACACCACTTATGGACTCCTATCATGACGACTTGGACTCTGGCTATCAGGAACCACAGGAAGTACTACACACCCTACAACGTGTCTCACCACGCCCCGTAGTGTCATCACCCACACGTATTGATAATCCGAATATGGCACCGCTCAACTACTATCCATCCCACCGTTCCACTCATCACCTAAACACCAATACACTACAATCGAATCACTCAGCTGCCACTTTAAATCGCAAAGCAACAATGACACGTCGCATAAGTGATGCTTCAATCTATGGACCAGCTGCCGGCGCAGCACAGTGAAGTGGTAAGAGTGAAATTACACAAGTTGTGTAGTGAAACGCACTCCAGTATAGCTGGTATAGTGTGGAAAAAATGTTGAAATTATAAAATCGTGGCTTCTGTTAATAAAAGCAAAAAAGTCCATGAAGGAAATGTTAAATTTGTATCGTCATATAACAACACATACATACAACGAAGCGCGAATTTGAATTGGAGTTTGAAAATTGGGCACTAAGCTACTACATTGAGACAAAATAGTGTTTGGTGTATGAAATATATTATCAAATGGTGTTTTTTATAAAAAATCAAACCAAAATAATTGACATTAAAGCAAATCAAAACCACAAAGCATTTCGATATCATTAATATGATATTTTCGTACTTATGTAGTGTATTAGATAAGCAGTTATTATTATATTCCGCATATGTATACACTAAATATATCATATGGAAGCAATATTGTCGTGAAAATCTACTAAACTTGCATTACTCATTGTAAAATTGCATTAAAAAAAAACTGAAAAAACTGCACTTCAGCAGGCAAATCAGCAACCGCAATACTAGAATTGAATTATAAAATACGCTATTTTATGGAAAAAATATATTATTGTAATAAAAAAAGCTTACGCTTTAAAATACCAGTTACGAACCATAAGTAAATAAATAATTATATTTTAAAAATAGCTAAGCAAATTCATAATGTAGCAATGCTCTATATTTAAACAATATAGTAAAATCAAAATATCACTGCAATAGAACATAAATATAAATCGTGCAATCGTTCAGTTTTATTATACAAACATACATAAAACCATGCTACTAATATTATTTGCATTGAAAAATAAAAAAAAAGTAGAATAAGTCATTATTGATAAAATATTAATTTCAATGAGGAAATTGAATAATTAAATTAAGACTAATATTATTATGCGTATGTAAGAATTTCATAAAATTATAAAATGACGGCTTTCAACTGATCTCTTTACTTGTAAGAATAAAAAAAATAATATGCCATTGAAAAACATAACATAGAAGAAAAATACAGCGGTGAAACTAAGATTCAACGCTAAAACAAAATAATGAAATAGTAATAATATTGCAAATGCTCACACTCTAATATTCCTATACATCAACACGCAATCACTACAGTCACACCATTAATTCCTATAAACACGTTTCATAAATCTTTACTATACATAAACATAATGTTGGTACACATGTGTCCATATTTGTATGCAAAAACAAAATAACACTAAATTCAAACATGATTGTACAAGCTTTAAATATTCAGACTCGTTAATTTTACTTGTAACTGTGAGTTGTGTTAATTTTACATATACATACAAAGAAAAGAGGAATTGCAATAACAAGTAGCAAAAGTTAATGCTCAATCTATATATTTATGTTTAATTTAATTTGTTGAATTAGATTAGTTATATTTTACGGGAAATAATAAAGTTAAATACATACTATGCAGTATATTATATTAATTATTTCTATTTCATGTCTACTGTTTAATGTACTTATATGTTGTACCGCTATATTCCTATTTATACTGGAGAATACAAATCTAAATTTAATCCAAGAAGAATTAATAAACTGTGGAAACTAAAAACAAAACTATAATCGTTCTATATATACTTCTCTTGATAAATTATTTCATTTATATACGAGTAGAAACAAACGAGTAGAAACGAGAAGCGAGTGCAAATTAATTATTTTCTTTTACTGGAATATGTGGCTATAAAATTTTTTTTAGTGTCGGCACTTCTTTTATCAAATGTTGTAATTTGACAGGTCTTCGAAACAAAATGATTCCGTCCCTACATAGGTTTTACTAATTTACATAAAGTCTATTTTGGAAGTAGTTTGCAATTTTGCTAATTCACTTACATGTCAGCACTGCAAAATAGTTGAATGCACTATGCCGGTTCTGATTACTTAATATCACACCAAAACTAATATGTACAAAGAATTTAATAGAAGTTATTTCACAATATTTAACTTGTTAAAATGTGTAAAATTTAAATTTCTAAAAGCTCGCACCGGAACTGTTTTAGAATTCGTTTGCCAACTAACCTACAAGAGCGGGAAAAATTATGACGACTTACAACTAACATGGTGGTAGCACTTTCCAATAATTTCCATACTTATTTTTCATTCATGTTAAAATATTAATTACTGCAATAATTTCAACACGTTTGATTAAATTTAATATAAACGCATTATTTTACAATTATAAGCGAGTTTTACAGCTGAAATTTACACATAATTGATTATATTCCTTGCTCCTATAGTTATTTACTGACGTCACATGTGTTGTGCACAATTATTTTCTCATTACGTGTTGTATCTGGCAATGCTGCCAAGTGGAGAAACCATCAAAGGAAACTTTCCTCAAGAATAGCCTTAATTTCACAAATAATTGCTTTTCAAAGCAATTAATATTATAAAATTTTAGTTAGTTCCATTTTTGTGATAGCAATTGTGAGGAATGTGATTGGTATATCTCTTTTAGTCGCTCGACAAATGTTAAATATATGTGAACTTGGTAAAGCGGCTGGAGTCCACCATCATAAAGAGAAAGAAGAAAAACGCAACAGAAAAATAAACCAAAAACTACAGGAAGTTACAAAAATAGATAAGTCCAGCAAACAAGTGATTGACCAGAAAACATACAAACAATATATTTTCGCCATTAACTTTTCTACATTCTACCATAGCATACAGTACTTTTAGTAACCAACTTGTTGAATTGCTTAAGCACAATGAGTATAGCAGCATTGGGTAAAATGGAACAAACCATTTGTATGCTTGAACGTGGCACAATTATCACCAAATTGTATTCCAAGCATCGTCCGGAACAACGGCGGCTGATGTTAGTGCGCGAAACGAGGCAGCTACTATGGTATTCGGTTATGTCAGATAAGCGTTCTGACTACGAAGGCTCACTTGAACTACGTGAAATTCGTGAGATACGTGTCGGTAAATGCTCAAAAGAGTTCCGCAATTGTGTTGAAGATTCGAAACGTTTTGAGCCAGCAAAATGCTTTGTAGTGTTACATGGCAGCTCATTTAAACTAAAGACATTTTCAGTAGTGGCCCTTTCCGAACAAGAGGCAGATAATTGGGTATGCGGTCTTCGTTACATGGTGCAGGACACCGTAAACGCACCATATCCACTACAGGTCGAACGTTGGCTCCGACGCGAATATTATGCCATTGAAAATTCAAGCGTACAGTCCTCCAAAGATAGTGGTCAGGTGACAGTAAAAGATTTTAAGTGCTTTTTGGCAAGTATTAGCTGCAAAATGACCACCAGTAAACTAATGGAATGCTTCGCTGAAGACGATGTAAGACCTAAAAATGATTTACGCTTCGATGATTTCTCACGATTGTATAGAAAATTACTGCTGCCGAATAATTTTCTTGAAGAAATGTTTTACAGTACACCAGGCACGTTTCCCTATTCCAAAGATGGTAAAACAGTCACTTTGCGTGAGTTTCAAAATTTCCTAATGCAAGAGCAACATGAAAATATGGGGCGAGATGATCTGTCGGTCCGTTCCCACGACGTAGGCGGAACGGACCCGGATTGCCAACAACAACAACATGATGCGTCGGTTTCAAAGTTTATACGTGACTTTTTGCAGGATGTAGAACGTGATGTGAAAGAACCTTACTTTACAATTAGTGAATTTCTTGATTACCTCTTTTCGAAGCAAAACGATCTCTGGGATCGCAACTGTGATCGCATTTACATGGACATGAAACAACCGATTTCTGCATATTGGATTGCATCCTCACACAACACTTATCTCACTGGCGATCAATTTTCCAGTGAGTCGTCATGTGAAGCGTACGCACGCGCATTACGTATGGGCTGTCGGTGTATTGAGCTTGACTGCTGGAATGGCGCAGACAATTTACCATATATTTTCCATGGACACACTATGACATCAAAAATAAAATTTAAAGATGTTATTAAGACGATAAAGGAACATGCATTTGTAACTTCCGAATATCCAGTGATTTTATCTATTGAGCAAAACTGTTCCTTAGAGCAGCAGCGTAATATGGCGCAAGCACTTACTGAGGTAAGTCATTAAATAAAGAATTTCTTGTTTTTCTTGTTGTGTTAATGTGTGTCTTAAAAAAATGTTCAGGTTTTTGGTGATATGCTGTTGACCCAACGTTGTGACCGCGCTGAATTGCAACTGCCTTCACCGCACCAACTGCGTCGCAAAATTATACTTAAGCACAAAAAACTGCCAGAATATGAGGATGGCTGTGCTGGTGGTCCGGGTATAGTAGGTGGCGGTTCTGGCATGTTAACAACCAGTGGTAGCAGATCATCAATTAGTGGCGCTAACGGTGATGAAAACGAAAATATGCGAAATTTTCTCAAAGAGGGAATGTTATACTTTAAAGATCCCGTTGACAAAGTCTGGAATCTATATCATTTCGTATTAACACAACAGCAATTAATCTATTCGTCACACACGGACGGAAACAACGCTGCCGGCGCAGATGATGATGATAATGTGGCGACGCAAAATGCAACTTTGGCGTTAATGCCCAAATCAAAAGATAATTTTGCGAATGAAGAATTGCACTTTGGTGAAAATTGGTTCCATGGAAAATTAGAAGGTAATATTACCAATTAAATTTCCTTTTAAATTTATTTTAACACTTTATTCAAATCATTAAGGTGGCCGCCAGGAAGCCGATCAACTACTAGAATCGTACAAACACTTGGGCGATGGTACATTTTTAGTGCGAGAATCGGACACATTCGTTGGTGATTACAGTTTGTCCTTCTGGCGCCGTAATCGTCCAAACCACTGTCGCATTAAGTTGAAACGTGAAAATGGAAAAAAGAAATATTATTTAGTCGACAATTTCGTTTTCGATTCACTCTACTCACTCATTGTGTACTATCGCAAAAATATGCTGCGTAGCTCCGAGTTCTCAATTACCTTAAGGGAGCCTGTGCCACAACCGAAAAAGCACGAAACACAAGAATGGTTTCACCCGAACACAACCAAAGAGCAGGCAGAGCAAGTGCTCATCAAACTGGATGTGGGCTCATTTCTGGTACGCCCGTCAGTACAAAGCACCAACGCATTTGTCATATCATTTACAATAAATCGCAAAATTAAGCATTGTCGCATAATGCAAGAGGGTCGCCTTTATGTCGTGGATACCATACAATTCGAATCGCTTGTATCGCTAGTCAATTACTACATGCGAAATCCGTTGTATCGTAATGTTAAGCTAATGTATCCGGTGTCACAGGAATTATTACGTCAGAAATTGCTCGCCTATCAAACATCGCTGGAGCACCATCATAATGGTGGCGATATCAATGACGCCTCGAGCTATATGGATCCAAGTCTGGATGATCGTGTTACATGTAAAGCGCTCTACAGTTACAAAGCTAATAAATCGGATGAACTTTCATTTCCAAAACATGCCATCATTACGAATGTGCAGCGTAATACGTCAATGTGGTGGCGCGGTGATTATGGTGGCATGGTGCAACGACACTTTCCAGCAAACTATGTGAAGGTAAGTCCAATAAAATATTAATGAATCGAGTGCTTGTTAGTTAGATTGGGTTTACTCATGGACTCTGTTGTCGCTCATCATCGGCAAAATCTCATTTGGTGTCATTCGTAGCGTTCACATGAGTCCGACAGCTTCTGTGGAATAATTTTCCATATTTCCTTTCATATCATATTCTCAAATTCTTGTACGTTTCATGCGGATTTTTACCCTGATTTACCCATTTATAAATACCCGTGAACTATTCCCTCATTATTTGACAAATCAATCAGTACGAACGATCTGTTATGAGCGAGAACACAAAGCATACTACCCGTGTACATCAACTTCATTTTTTCTTCATTCACTTGTCTACAAAAGATCAGTTTGGGCGACAAAAGAGTCCGTGCGTGCACCGGCACTCAGTATTGATAACGTAAAGTGCCGATACAGTCGATAGTCTATTCTACATATCGTCACCTGAAATGCAAAATAACGTATCATCAAAAAATTCGAAATTGCGTGTCTTATTGATTACGCTTCACTACTTCAAATTACATACATAATATTACATATGTTCAATGTTTTCAGGTTCTGCGCTCAGATATAAACCAGTTTTACCCAATATTTAATTTTTTTCAACGTTAATTTTACGTTATTTTTCATTTCAGGTAACGATATATCTCTCTAAACCTTCTATTAAAGCAAAATTAATTATGCTACCAATACTAGTATATGACATATTGAGAAAATTAACAATTTCCCGTCAAAAAATAATCATCTCTTCCGATAGGTAATTGACTCTGCTGGCGATGATTACAATTCCTTTAGCGACGAGAATAACTGTGAAAATATCTCACGCACTGATTCGATTGACATACATGGCGCCATTGTACACCTGTCCGAGTCTAGCGAACCGGGCATATTATTCCAATTGCAAATTCAAACACCAACAATGCAAAATTCGTTCATCATCGGTTTTGATAACCAAGAATTGGCTTACGAATGGATCAAGGCCATACAAGAGGGTGCATTAATCGCCAATCAATTGGCCACCGAACGACGCAAAAAGGAACGTTCCGCACGTGTGGCCAAAGAAATGTCCGATTTAATTATTTACTTCCGCAGTGTGCCATTCCGTGAACATTCATGGGTATTCTACGAGATGTCCAGCTTCCCTGAAACCAAAGCAGAAAAGCAATTTCTACAACAGAACACTATGCTCTTCCTACAATATCATCGCAATCAAATCAGTCGTGTCTATCCGAAGGGACAACGTTTGGATTCATCTAATTTTAATCCGGTACCCTTTTGGAATGTTGGTTCACAAATGATTGCACTCAACTATCAGACTGGCGACAAGGCCATGCAGCTGAATCAAGCTAAATTCCGCGATAACGGTAATTGCGGTTATCTGCTTAAACCGAAATTTATGCAAAGCGACAGTTTCGAACCGAATAATATGCTGGCGATTGGCTCACACGAAGAGCGCTTTGTAACAATACGTATTATAGCAGGGCGTCATCTGTTTCGTGGCGGCAAATCCAATAATCCGCTAGTCACTGTTGAAATATGTGGCGCCAGTTTTGACACGGGCGTTAAGCATCGCACGAAGGTGAGTGAGAACGGTTTCAATCCGTTATGGAATGAAAGCTGTAGTTTCACCGTGCGTAATCCGGATTTTGCGCTGTTGCGTTTTGAAGTGCAGGACGAAGACATGTTTGCCGAGACGCATTTCATAGCGCAAGCATGCTATCCGCTGAATTGCATACGCACGGGTTATCGTAGCATCACGCTGCGCAATAAATTCAGCGAGGAACTGGAATTGGCCTCGTTGCTGGTGCATGTGGACATTACCCATGCCAGCACAAACGCAGCTAATGAGCACACAGTGGTTGTGGACTTCTGAAGTGCTTGCTTTTATAGAAAATATTTACTTACATTCTACTTACATATGTGTGTATGTGTTTGTTTTGTAGATGTTTGTTAACAAGTGCCCTTAATTTACCCAACGAACAAATGCTTTAAGGCATGCTTATACAGACATATCTATTTTTACACAAATGAACAAATTTAATGTTTTATAAGAATTACTGATAAATTTATCAGTTTTCTAAAACATGCATTAATTGCAATCAAAAGGAAGATTTATTTTAAGATGTGAAAACGTCAAACAAACTGAGCTTTCTTTTTCTCCACATAAAATGTATTTATGTCTAAACTATTTCTTTTAGTATAGTTAAAGCACTGAAAATTTCTTCCATTAATTAATTATTGCAACTCATATAAAGACTTAACATTTTACTATGTATCTACATTCTAAGCGAAAAGTACTTTTTTAAACGTACGCAGCTCTATATTTCTATGTTATACAGTTTATTTACGTGTGTGTATTATTAACACGTGTTTTAGATAAATATACAAAAATAAATATATACTATATATGTATGCGCATATATAATAATACTAAATTTGTGTTTTTGTTACTTTCGAAAAAAATTTTCACACAAATGCTTTAAAGTTATAATCTCAAAAAAAAAAAAATTCTTTTGATAATACGAAAAAAATGCAGAAAACAAAAAAAAAAAAAAATTCTTTTGATAATACGAAAAAAATGCAGAAAAAATATGTTTATTGTATCAGACTAAAAACCGTTCCGCCATTTTGTTAATTTTTGATTTTTTCGACCACTCAAATGCGTTTTTAATTTTCTAATTAATTGTCTTATAATTAAAATTACGAATTTTTTTGAGGATATAACTTTAAAACATTTATGTGGAAATTTTTTCATAAAAAAATACAAATTTAATATAATAAAATTTAATATTTATTTCATACAGAAACTGCAGAACATGCAGTGTTAGGAATATTTGTCTTCAAGTAATATATGCAGAGAATTCGAAAAATGCTGTAGATGCCGATGGAGCCGATTGAAGCTTGTAGCACAAAAAATATTTCAAATATTAATTTAAAATTTTTATATGGCATTTTTACAGGTTAGATTATGGAAATATACCAAAAATTAAAAATAATAATTTTTTCAAAATTTCGGAATTCTCCGCACAATCACAAATGTACAAAATAAAATTAAAGTTAATACAATTTTACTAAATCCTACGCTAGCTTACCACACATGCATTCTATTTGCTCGCATTTCAGCTTTATTGAAGTAAAAACAATGTCTACTGTGCCTTAGTTAATGGAAAATATACACACCTATACATATATGTATGTCTACTTTTATATGTTCTGAAAGTATTTAAATGTACAGTAAATACTGTAAGTTCACAACAAAACAGATATTTAGTAATATCAAATATTTTTTATTCATAAAAATGTATAGTATGATTATGCTATAATTTTTTATGGTATCAACTATATGAAGTGTAAAAATATAATATGTGTATGCATTAAATTAAAAAACTAAATCACTTACAACATATGAATACTTGTATCACTTTAATTATTGGAAAAATATTTTGGCGCTGCACAAATTGCAATAGAGCAAATTGTACTCCATTTGATGTGCATTAATGCGGCGTTCGGTTAACGCCAGCGTTTGTTGCAGCTTTTCCGTTTCGCTATTTTGCATTGCTAATGCAGCTTTGGAGTTGCCTTTTGCGCCAGCGCGTGTATTCGTCGACTTTTTTATGTCCAGCAACATTTGCTGTATCTTAAGGCGCTCTGCATTGAAGCGTTCACGCACCGTTGCGAACCAGTGTAAAGCATAGAAATCATCAATTTGATTTAATAACTTTAATATGTATGCTAAACCGACAGCGAAACCATCATCGAAGAGCAACGCCTCCTGACGATCCTTTTTATTGATCTTCTCTTTAACACGCAGCATATACTCTACATAATTGAGTGACAGAGCCGGCACAATGAGAAAGAAGTTTTTCAAATGCAGATTATGCGGATTACGAAAGAACGGTTGGAATGCTTCAACAAGTAACTGTAATATATAATATTTGAGTGGAAATTTGAGCATAAATTCCAGGAAAGGAAATCAAGCTTACTTTGAAATAGTCCGTACTATCTGAGAAGCTCTTCACCAAATTACTAATATTCACTTCGAAATTTTCCGCTGCCTTCACGGTAACGGGGTCCAGTTCCTGCTCACTGCAAGCAGTGGCAAATTGCAAATTCTCATCGAATTTGGGTAAATAGAGGCTGGCGCTATAGTTCGCATGTATGCTACCGGAGCGCACCAGGCGTATATAACCCATAGCGTTGCCTGTATGTTATGCATAAATATTATGGAACATATGCTTGTGGAATATGTGTATAATACATAAAAAAAGATTGTTTAAAAAACTTACCCACATGCGTTATGACCTTTCTGAAGAGATCCATATACGTTTGTCCATCATTGGAGAGTCCCAGTTTGCGTATATCCTTATTGAAAGCGTCGGCGCGCTCGTACGCGTATACCGGATAACTTTTTGTCTGTTTTCGTTCGGCATATGCGCGTAGCTCTTTCATCAGTCGTGATTTAATTTGTTCATCGTAAAGGAATTGTGAGAAGGTGTAAAATTTTTGACGCAAAAATTGATATGTAAAATTGACGGTAGTATTTATGACACCGGTGCCGTGTGTGCGTAACGAATTGGCTACATGCCGTATGCCAATCGAATCTAAATGCTTATTGGCGCTCCTTTGTTCAACGAATATTTGTGTATTCATGTTATAAACGTACTTCGAGACGAATATATGGATTTTGCGCATTATTTCTAAAATATCGATGCCCTGAAGAAATATTGCAAAACAAAAATATAAATTAAGAAGGGAAGTTCGTCGAGTTAAAAGCAAAGAACAATAATGAATAGCAAAGATTTAATAGCCTTCACAGGTGGATATTTTATAGCATAAAAAATCTTTTTAGGACAACCAGACTGCCAGCTATATGCTTTAGTGGTCTGATCTGAACAATTTTTTCGAGAATAGTAGCGCTGACTTGAAAAGTAATCTATACCAATTTTGGTGAAGGTACCTAATCAAACATAAAAGTTTTCCATACAAGGACTTCATTTAGATAGAAGAGTTGGCACGGCAACTATATGATACAGTGGCCGATATCACCATTTCCGACAAATGAGCAGATTCTTAATATATATATATAAAGATGTGATAAGACGTCCACATTATTAACGGTAATTGAAAATGTCAGTGATGTTACCTGTTCCAAAGTTTGATTAGGCAAATAATCCTCTACTGGTTTTAGCATTAAACGCGTGTTAGCCAGATGACGCATCTCCTCGTAGGTCTTCCAGTCTTGCAATGATATGGTGGTAAGATTATAAAACATGGCGCTTAAATAATTCTCGACGTGATCTGGAAGCAATAATAAAAATTACAATTGCAAAAAAATAACTGAGCAGCTATTTTAAGGTTTGAAGCTTTGGAGTTGCCGAAAACACTAAAACAAAATTTATTTTGAAACCTTTCAGACTTATATACATGAAATTATCTTTACAATCTGGCTTTTGTTATATAAGCGAGACAAAACTTCCACTAACCTTTCAAAATCACATAATTTCCATTCAATTTAATAGGACAGGCGTTAATCAAGTCGCGGTAGTCATCAATGCCATGCTCAAATGGACTCATTTTTTCCAGCTGTAAATTGGAATGCACTTCCAAACGCAAAAATGTTTCGATTTGTGCACACAACTTGCTCACAATTTCGCTGCGTAAATTATCATAAGTCACGCGTTCTAAACATTTAGATAATTTAAGCTCCTTCAAGTCCAATACCTCAAAAGCCTTGTCACAATCGTTGAAAGCATGTAGAATATACTGTAATAGGCCGGGATACATATTACAATTTGTATAATAATCAGTATATATTAAAAATTTCTACCTGAAATGAATTAAAGTCCAACTTTCGCTCGACGACCTGCTTCAAGTATGCTGAAAGCACTGACTGATGCCAATATATGAATGTTGTGTCACAGAGCTCATTCATGTTCGAATGGAAATCAGCTAGAATTGTTATACGCGACATAAGCAATTGAAAACGCTCGCACTGATCTTGCGGTAATGTGCGATTGTTGAGATTTGTTGCATTTACCGCCAGTTTTGTGAGTAAAGTACGGGTTTTCGTTGGGGGACCCGTCATGCACTTCTCAGCGATGCGCAATGACGCTAAAGCGTCGACATTGCGATCATGCATTTTAGCAGCGGTAATGCGTTTCTAAATAATAAACTTATAATATTTTTATTTGATTCGAAACTTCAATTGTTTACCTTGCACAGGTTCAGCAGGTGCAATACTTTATACTGTAAGTATTGCAAAACACATTGCATCACCTTTGCAATGACGTCCATGTACTCTTGGAACAACTGTTGTATATTCTTTAGCAATTCAATTAGTTTACAGATGCTTTGCAATGTTATTTTGGTCATTGGTGATTGTAGTATCACATGTGCATTTACTAAACCTTTGATTAAACAACTTATTTGCGATGCAAAACGCAGACCAAGTAATAGTAAAGCTGAAAGTTCTTTGAACTGTTGCACGGTGAGGTCGAATGGTCCTATGCTTAATGCTTTACGTATGTTTAGCGTCAAAAGCAGTACTTGCGAACAGTAGTTGCGGCAATCACGCGGTAAAGTCTGCACTCGTGTTTGTAAATAATGTTGCTGCAAACGTTTGCCATCTCCCAAAAGGCGTTCATGTGGTTTTACCAGTGAGGTGGCATGACGACGCAGGAACGGTGTTGGCTGCCAAGCTACATTACCTATTAGTATAATACCTTGATATTTTTGATTGAGCTCTAGAAGATGTTTCACATGTTTGGTCTCAACTTGTCCGCAGAAATCATGAAAAACTACACAGAATGCATTCAGGCGCACAAGAAGTTTATGATCGCTGAACTCATTTACTTCGCACTTATTTATAGCTAACAAACACTGTTTCATATATTCATTGCATTGGTTTGTAAGTTGCCCAATACCCTTCGGACCAATTTTATCCTTTAACGCAAAAGTACTATCGAGGAAACTCTGAAAAGTAGAGATAACACTAAACAAGATAATAACAAAAGAAGCCAAGTGTTTACTTGGAAGATAGTGCCTGAAAAAAGAAAATCGAATTCCTCTAAGCAATTTCTTAAACCAATCAGTTCGCTGGCTGTGCAGAACTCCTGGTGTTGTCCATTTTGCGCTAATGCTTCTACGGTTTTCTTGTAAGTCGGCCAGAAACGGCAAAAATTGGAGCCAGCCAAAATTTCATTAAAAATGAGAATTTGCAAAAGCAAATCTGCAAGGCAATCGAACACATCCTATAAAATATACTAAATTAAATGTCTAAATCTACATGTAATATCGAACTGTAATTATATACCACAAAGCGAAATTCCAAATTTTTGTTATCTTCCAGTGCACAGTAGGCCCCACATTGGTGGAGCAAATTATTGTCCAACACAATGCAACGTTGTAATAAGAATTGTATATCACAAACGAATTGCATAGATTCACTCATTTGAAGTAAAATTTCATTGGTTTGTCTTGCGGCATCTGGACCGCCATTGCCATCCTCATCGGCTAAAAGTGCACACAAATTTTCATCAATATATAGAAACTTGATTTGCATATGTTCGGCTCTGCGTGTTAAGGTATCCACCTCGGCGCAAAGATGAGCGAATGTAAGCAGCGTTTTATTTAACAAACGATCAGATTCGAGTAGTCGAAGCAATGAAAGTTGCTCCTGATTAGCAGAATAGTTTACTTCCACAAGAGGTGTGGTCAAAATCTTAAGTGTGGGTGGTGGACGAGCTGACGGCACTTTTGTAGTTTTTTGCGATAATTGTTGCAATTTCTTATCATGTATGTCAAGGAATGAACCGAAATTTTTCAACTGTTCCTCAGCCGATGAAACTATTTTGACGAAAATGGAGTTTCTATGTTGTGTTTTCTTATCAGTGATAATTATTACTTACTTATAGCTGCTTGATCCATTTTTCGTTATTGAGACAATTTTGTATAAATTGTTGCATCCAATTTTCACAGAACAATTGCAACAATTACAAAACGAAGATGAAATCAAAACAAAACACAAAAAATACAAAGCTGCCACATTGCTAATATGTTGTTTTTACAATGTTACAAGTGTAAATACATTTCAAGTAAATATTTTACTATATTTCTGTTTTTTATATACATACTTTTGTAATTTTTTTATTTATTGTTTAATAAAAAAGTAAATAAATAATATATTTTAAAAAAAATTTTAATGAAATTAAAAATTAATTTAAATCTGCAACTGCAACTCTGCGGTTATTCAACAGTTTTGACAGTAACAATTTGAAGTGAAATTGGATGAGAAAACTTATTTCCCGGATACTTCCTGTTGAGTAAATTTTGTGTAAAAATTATTGTGAAAGTATGTAACAGTAAAGTTAATTTTATATTTAGTCGTATTACGCCTTATAAAAATAATGAAATACGAGTAATTATATTGAAATGGTGTTCGTGTATTAAATGTCACTCTTGGAGTGACAATTAATGGAGTGCGAACTGCGTAATTATATCGAAAGGGCGCATTTTTTATACATTCACATACATATATATTATAGCGTATTTGTGTGACATATGAATTCGTGTGTGCTTTTTATGTTTAGCACCATTTTCTGCCGATTTTGGTTAACTTTTATATTTAAGTACAATTAATTGCGGTTTCGGAAAATGTTGTTGAAACGTTTGTAAACGTTGTGAACTTCAAGAATATTGTAATTACAGATACTACAGCGCCGTTAGCTTTCAGTTATAATGTAATTCTGCGTTGTTGAACTGAAGATGGGAGAAATTCCAGGACGTAAAGCATAGAAAAACCTGCACCGAAGAACATTTAGGTAAGAATATTTTAGAAATTAAACAAAAATTAGCTTTCACAACATATTTTTATTAGAAAATTAAGATACCCAAGCATAATTGTATTTTCACACTTTTCTCACAATATTGACTTAAAATTATTCAACTCTTTTTAACAATAAATTGTGCTATATTATTGACTATTTAAATAAATTAACAGATTTTTGGCTATTTGGAATTTATAAATTTGGCAATGTGCTAAAAAAATACATAAAATATTGTTTTACATTTTTGTATAATAAATAATTATTCTCGTACTTACTACCGTCGCACTTATTCTACATTCATATCCACTAAAATATTTTATACTCTCCTATTTGACTATAAGTCAATACAAAACGAAAAAACAGCACACTCAACTCAACCTTCATCGTCACTGTGTTGTGTGCAAATCACCTGTTCCTGCCACCAATCGTGCACCTCGTAAACTGCATTCGCTTGATTGTTAAACGGCAATAATTTACTACCCGCAATAATGTGACCCATAATCGCTGATGGACTACCCAGTGGTCCATGCTGTTCACCATAATGATTCATCACATTTGGGGGATAATGAAATTGACTGCCATCACTGTTACCGGATGCGAAAAATCCCGACGTCCGATTCAAGTCGCGTTTTATTGCAGAACCGCTAGCAGCAGCGACTGGTGGCAAGATAGGCACTGTCGTCATTGAATTTTTCTTCTTTTGTTGACTACTAATATGTAGACGCTCTTTGTCCGTCAGTGTGCTGCGCTGTTGTGGATCGGATGTGGTAGGTGCTAAATACTTGCGACCTGTCGAGCTGCCTGTTGAATCCGAACGAATTAGTGCTTGCGCGCGTTTGGTACCACTTATTACACGTTGAACGCCATGCATCTCGCCAGTGGTGGAGACAGCCGCACTACCACTGGCATCTTTCTCTTCATTCTCCGTTGAACTGAAGGTTGGCGAGAAGGCATCACTAGTCGGTGGACCCGCCGCAGTTGCGCTGCCCGGTGGTTTCTCACCGCCACTAGTGGGAGTTTTATCCTCGGGTGTTTTAAGTAACATTAATTGCTCATTGGTGGCACGCAAACCAGCAATTAAGGAGTTTTGTTGTTTCTAATAATAGCAAATAAATATAATTAGTTAGTTAAGTTCAACATTTTAAAGACGTTTTGGCTTACACTTGCATTTTGGGCACGTATCTTCTTCAGGCAACCCTCCAACCAAGTGCGTATGGTCATCTTGGCGACTTCTTCCTCTACCAAATATTCGAATTCCTCACGCGCCAGCAATTCCTCCAATTGTAATGCTTTACGTATATCCACCGACCGATAGGATAACATGCTGCATTTCCACAAACAAGTATATTTTAATAGTTCTTTCCATAAACTGTTTTTAAACTAAATTTAGACTTACTTAATCACGTCGTGGAATGTCACATCTTCACCATTATGCAACTTATCCAATTCATAGCACATGTACTTGAAGAGCAAACGATCCTTTTGTGGATCGCACTCTAGTCGTCCTTTTAGTAGACGTAATATGAACTTCACCCGTCGCACTGGTATAACGCCCCGTTGATGTATGTCCACTATGTTCCATGTATTCTGGAAATTGCGTATGTCGGCATAAGACAGCAAAGCATCTTCCTCGTTGGAGTAGAATAATGAAAAGTTCTCCATGATAATAGCTGTAATAAGTTGAAAATAAATTATCATTTTTACACTTGGTATTCTATTTTGCAATACTATGTAACTTACCCACTAGCAAATTCAATACAATATATGTAATGATGACGTAGAAAGTGCAGAAGTACACCAAGCTAGCTGTGAAGTTACCTAAAAATCCATTAAAATAAGTTGTTAATTTAAAATTTTAAGGATAAAATATCATTATCAACCCTATAAATGGTGTTGGATCTGATCGATTTGGCCCGGACTGACAAAAAAAATACATTTTTATGTAATTTCATACAAATTTTTATTATCGTTTCTTGAGTCACAGCAATGATTAAACAAATCTTCCATAACCTTGTTATAAGTATCGGATGAAATTGTCATCAGAATTCGATTCTTGTGGTACGAGGTTAGCAAAGGCACGATTAAGCCCAAAACATTAACCAAAATGTGTTGAGTTGTTCCAAAAGAGATTTTCAAGCACTAATTTCCTAGTCCGGGTCAAGTTTGATCAGACGCTAAGTGGATTTCACTAGATAAATAAGAGACCTGCATATTTTGACAGAATTTTGCAACACAAGAAGACTTTTTTCAAAATCTGATAATTTTTAGGAAGTGTTTTTTTGTCGAAAATAGACTCAAGAGATCGATATTAATTGCTTAGGTATAACCTATCATCGAAATCTAAGCAGTAGTATTTTGTCAATTAAAATAACTTACCGCAATCGGTTTCCCAGTAATTATTTCCCGGCGTACAATATGGCGGCTGAACCATGCAATCATGCATAATCTTATTCCAATCTTCTCCGGTCACAATACGAAACAGCATTGCTACTCCTGTTACAGGCGAACCGAAATTCGCGCGTCTACCAATACCTTCACCATACTTAACAGTACCGAAGAGTATGGTGCCGGCCAAGGCATAAAAGAATACCAACAAAAACATGCCAAATATGATGAAGAAGGATTTACAAACCGACACGCCCACAGTCAGCATAAGCATTTTGAGTGTAGTGTGTTTACCGGTTATGGTGAAGAAACGTAAAATCACCACCATAAAACCAAAAAAGTATGAGAGATCATTCTGGAAAATATAAACCATTTACGAAAAAATATAAGCACATCTTAAGAACTAAGAGATTCTCACCCTTAATATTGTCTGCAAGAATATCCAAACAACACCGGCCACAGTGACGAGTAAATCGTAACGATTACGTCGCGACTGCCAGTAGCCGCGCGGTGTAAATGCTATATTTTTCATAACCACCTCAATGACGAAAACAAAGTTTAAAACCGCGCTGACGACCACCAAACGTTCCGTGTGGACTTCACCTTTGATCCACTGTAAAACATGCAAGAAAAAACGTTCATTTCGGTTGCACCAAAGCTATAATACCCTTCACAAAAAAATAAAAATTTTTTTATGCAAAAGCTTGCCTTTGATCAGTCAGTTTGTATGGCAACCATATGCTTTCAATAAAGGCAGTTCCGAAATAGCAACATTTTGGTTAGAATAAAATTGTCTCAATATCTTTCAAATACAAACAACAGTCGTTCCAATTGGTCAAATGGAAGGAGCACCTTTTCTAACTTAATCGGGTTCGAGGCCGATCTAAAACCTCTGCTGCGGTGTGGGTCCGGCACCCGGCCGCGGTGCGATTTCACACTGTATAAAATTTTTCAATTACACCTGTCTTTTTGTCTAAACCACACCCACCACGAACCTTTCGAAAGGGCCAAAGCCAATGAGCAGATTGGAGTGGAGAGACTCCAAGGGTTAACTGCTTCCCGTGATACCATATATACCATATCTCCGCTCAGAACTTGTAGCTTTTGCGATCACCAATTAAGCACCGATAAAACTCATCGAGAGTGGTGACATTTTTCACTTGACCTTCGAATTTCTTTTCATTAGAAGAAACCCCATTCAATGTCAGCAATATCAGTTCACGCTGAGTAGTATAGCACCACTTTTGATAAGACAATGTTGAAATTTCTAGGCAAGCCAAAAAATACAGACATAGTGCATATAGAGTTTTAGGCGCTTCTTACTACAAGCATGCATTACTCGTTCCCACTACACTTGGGTCTACGTAACCGGGGGATCGGACATGACGAAATCGACTCAACTACTCGTCACGCTGATCACTTACATATATGTATATATACGTATACATTTAATAGACTCTCCTCCAATCTACTTTTATCTGATCTTCGCGTCGTCTTCATTTTTTCACAATTTCTTTTTGCACAACTTCATATTTACCGTTATGGACAACAACATGCTGTTGATCAGCACCACCACGGCTATAATACGTTTAAAGATTATATTCTGGGTTATGTCATAAGTGAAAGCGCGAAACTTTCTGCCGTCGGGACGTGGCGGCAAGTGCAGAGGCTGAGCAATCTTCAAGCGCTTCTTCAGATCACACCAACGACGTTGATCGACCGTCAACAGAGCAGTACCTTTATTCTCCGAGTAATTAGCGATCACTACACCCACAAACAAGGTTAATCCGATCATACAGCCTAAGAAAATATAGATGTGTATGTAAACCGCATGGATCTGAAAATAGAGGAACATGCATAAAAATTTAGAAATGGTAATAATAATTTGGTATGATTAGTAAAGCGCTCCTACCGGTCCAACAGCCTTGATCAGCACATCGCGCACATCCAGCCAACCCTTAAAGGAAAGCACTTCGAACAGCGTCAGCATCGCATCACCGATATTGTCGAAATTGAATCGGCGTGGATTAGCCCAGACACGTGGCACCAACATCGACGGATATGACTCATTATTACCGGGTGTCAATTTCATTTTTGTAACGAAGACACGACGCATAAATACGCCCACACAATCTTCACGACGCAAAATGGTCGGATCATTACAACGCGCCAAGCGACCACCATATAACTGTACACCATAGCTGGCGAATATAAACATGAGTAGTATAAGCAATGTGGATACGAGTAAGATCTCTTTGAAGCCGCGACACAACTCATAAACGACTTTGCGCATGTGTGGCACCAGCGTGAAAATACGCAATGGCCGTACACAGCGCAAAATCATCAATAGTTGTGCGCCAGAACTAGTCGGTATCTGTTGGGGCATCCAACAGAGAAAGGATGTGGATACAACATAAATGAAGACATCCAGCACTGCAGCTACATCCTTAATATAGGCTTTCGGTGTGAAGAAGAGACCGTCGGCAAGTATTTTCAATGCCAACTCCAGACTCATAAATACTACAAAACCATATTCGGCTATTTGTAGAGTAGGATGATCCATAACGCGATAGCTTGGCGTTTCAAACATCATTGATATGCAAGAAAGTGTCGTAACGAAGATCATAACCCAATCCAAGTAGGTGACCAAACCGAGAAAATTGCTGCGGACAGGAAGGAAAAGAGTATTAGTCGTATACATAATGTGTCTTATTTCAAAAATTAGTAATTGCACACAAGATGGATAGCTACGGGTACACAAATGACTTACTGCATGCTTTTATACTGCACTTTTCGTTCCTTGCCCGTAAGTGGATCCTTAAGGCGCGCATCGTAACGTCCGTGCACGATCTTCTGACAGATCTTACGAAAGCGACTCTCACGCGGCACCAGAAAAAGTGGCGTATCGAAGAACGGATGATTCTCACGCAAGTCCTCTTCGCGTTGATTTCGCCTCATTTCGGCTTGTTGTCGCTTCGCTTGCAGCAGTTTTATGTCGAGATCATGCGGACGTGCCCGTCCCGAATTGGCACGTGGCGCCGCCGCAATATCACCATTCTCCATGAGATGTTCATAAGTTTGTTTCAATTTAATCGAACCGGAACGTACGCTACGACGTATGGAACGTGAACCAAATCTGGTGTAACGGAGAGAAATTGAAGAAAACCAATACAAGATTAATGCGTACGCGCAATGATTGTTAGCAACCTACTTCTTTTGATCTACACGCCATGGTTTCGAATGTGTTATGGTGCCTTGAGACTTTAAACCCCCTTTGCCGCCTACGACAGGCAGCATAGCGGAGTCTCCAAGCATTAAACGCTGATTATTCGAATCACTGGAAAGTCGACTTGAGTAAGTCAATTTTGAATAAAAGTACACATATATGAGAATTTTGAGCACACATTGCATGCGGGACAGTCTATGTGGAAACATTTTGATAGGAACATGATAATTTGCGTCTTCTAAATATATACATGTCTATGGTTAACAATATCTACAAATTATTATTATTGGCATTCCCTCTGAGATCAAATTGTTTCAACCGTAGTTTCCCGGCTTAAAAAATTTCGCAGCCAATTTAATGTACAAAAGCATAAATGCTTTACATAATATTTCGCTTACTTGATAATATGCGTGATGGCCAATTTGCGCAAACTGCTGCCGGCCGAACGCACCTTGGGCGTCTTGTTCATGATGCGCACAGGCTTCTGCTTGCGAAATACCACATTCGATTCCCAACACTCCGACATGGGACGCTTACAATTCTCCACGATGGAGGGATCATCGGTTTCCAACTCAATTACGAAATGTTTCATGAATGATTCACGTACTTTGGGTAATGTAAAGTCATTCGGTATCCGATGCAGTATGGTCATTTGTGGTGAGTCGGGAAACTTCTCGAAAATACGCAGACGAAATGGCAACGTTTCTTTGATCTCAGCGCTCTGTTCACGAAATTTTAGTTGCTTTAATTTTTTGATATCTTCATCCAATTCCAAATTATCCAAAATGACCGCCACGAACAAACTGAGCACGATCAATGTGACGAACAAGTGGTAGAGTATGAAATAGACCGCAACTAACGGTGTAAGTGTTTTACTCGTGCGTATCATAGTTTCGTCCATAACTTCGACCCAAGCCTCTTGCGTGAGAATCTGGAACATAGACATAAAAGCTTCCGGAAATGATTCAAATTTCGTAAAATCACAAAGAAAGCAAAAAAGTTGCATAGATATGCTGGAGCTAATGATAAGCAAACACATGGTGAATATGATCAGTGAGCCGAGTTTCTTGCCCGGACCGAAAATCTTATAAACGAAACCCTCAAGCATGGGCGAAGCTTTAATTAAGCGTACAACACGCAGGACCTGCAAAGAAAAATTAAAAAGATATGAAAAACAAATTAAAATATATAAAAAATAGCAGGTTCTGTGGTCTATAGACAAAAGAATCATTTTTTACGTTATTTATTCATGTTATTATCTCACCTGAAAGTAAGTGAAACCCGACAAATAAAATATTGGCACAATGTGTATGGTCGTTCCGACGGCCAAGAGCAATTCGAATTTATGTATGGAATGCTTATAGTAGCCACGCCAACCCAAACAATAAATCTTGAAGAGCGTTTCCAAGTCCAAAAAGAATGTGAAAGCCATTTCGATGCAATAATATTTCTCATAGAAAACATTACGCGGGCGACCATCATGCTTAAACGTCATTGTGGCCATGACTATGCCATTAGCCAAGATCACGGTCATCACCAGCATGCGAAAGTATGGTGAACGTAAGATGGCGTGACAGGTTTCAGGCGCCAAACCGCCATGTTTATTATCATCTATGGTCACCAAACGCCAACCAGAATCATTGCCGCTGAGTATCTGCGATGCAGCGGTCTTTTGTATGTGACCGCGAGCGCCCCACATCTGTTGGAACTGCACACGAATCTCGTTGAACGTTTCCGTAATGACAGCAATGAAAACATTCTTCACCAGCCAAGCAAGGAAAAATATCATTGTGCTAAAAAAATTGGTATTTGTGAAATTTGAAATAACAGGCCTATGCATACCAACCTGAAGTAGAAGGCAGCACGCCAAGCGGGCAGAGAATCGATTGCGCGATACATTATGAAGACCCAACCTTCTTGTGAAGCCGCTTGGTAAACAGTGAAAATGCTAGTAGCAAAGTCCTCGAAACCGTTGAAGCCAATCACATAGCTGCTGAGAAAATCCATTTTCATGCAAATCATTCCGGGTGAGCACTGATATCCAGAGTCCGGATCCATCGAACAGAACGTATCGGGTATGGCAAGCGAATTTATAGTTAATATGCTGAAATTCGAAAGATTACATTTCGCTTACTATAAACCATGATATCATTTTAAAAAGAAGCCATATGTAGACGCATGCGAACATTACCAAAAGCGGTCTTAGTTTATGGGTATGCTCTTTTGGTCAGTTGCCATGTCGCCAACCTTCTATAAATATTCTCAAATTATTTCCTGATTTACGATCCTAAAAAAAGAAACTTTGACTACTATTTGCTTTATATTTTGTGCGATGCTCTTTGGGACAGCTGTAATTATGAAATCGAGTTGGAATTATCTTGTCACTTTCAGCTCTATTTCCCGGCTTTTCCTAGACCTCGTTTGAAATATTTCGGTAGACCCATATCGAAAAGACTGAGATTGATACAAATTTGTCTTAACAAAACTTAAAATGCTTCGTCGATTTATGTGATCTACTTTGAGGATCTGTCGTAGTGACATCCATCGATTAGGATCAACCCTACGGTGTAACGTAATCCTTCAGTAACCAGTAACCTGAAGTTTCCAATTTTTGATATCATTTCCTTAGCCAATAAACTCGTTATGCTCGTCCTAAGCCTTGGCTGCCCGGTTAAAGGTTAGAGCCACTATGTATAAAGTTAGCAATATTCAAGTTGAATAAAGATTACTTAATGAGGAAAAAGAGATTGGACAATTATCTCTACCAAATTTCGACAAGATGTCTTGTCAAATTAACAGTTTTTAATAATTGATTTTGATGGATACTTTTGTATGAGAACAATGAGTAAATCCTGTAGTAGTCCGATATCGGTGGCGATTTTGATAAGTGAGCAGTTTTTTGGGGGGTTTTTCAATACCTCAAAAAAAAATGAACTATGTCGCGTATATGCAGATAGACAGACATGGCTAAATCAACTTAAAACATCAAGCCGATAATTTATATGTTGTGGGATTTGATGTCAACACGTCGTTGAAGTATACTTGTTGTACAAGTATTTGTATTCTATTCTTCATATATTTTAATCTCTTCCCTCCTAGTCGAGGGTTCTATTTCTATACTTTCATTTAAACTTATTGCTGAGCAAATACTTACGGTCTTCCCAAGTAGTCGGTCTCGGAGTTATTCATGACGCAATGGTTTTTCAACTCCCCAAAGAATTGTACACCCAGTAAACCATAAAGTGACATAAAAAATAGGAAGAACAATGTCACGTTGTAGATCTGTTGGCTCGACCGTCTGTAATGCACAAAAGCAATTAATATACAAACATATTTAAAATAGTATAATAATTTTACGCACTTAAATATTTGATTAATGCGGCTCTTTGGCATCGAGAATTTTAGGAAGACTCGTAGGAAGCGTATCATAATTAGGGGGCGTGGCGCACGTACAATTGAGATGTAAGAATATCTAAGTAAAAAACATTAGTAAAGCATAGTAAGTGAGGAGCAATTGAAATTGAACTGTTTCGGAAATTTAATGGTTATTACAATTGCTTGATATTATTCAATTTGAAAAATAATTTCCGAAACATTTCTTATATAATATATATATATATATATAGTAAATGTGCACATAAGGCTCAGGCTAACTACTTGTAGTAATGAGGCGTAATTTCAACTTACTTGGGCACAATTTCTAAAACTTCGAATATTTGTAATATAATCGATATCCAGAGGAAAAATACCATTGACGCATCGAATTGACACCAATGATCCTTTAGATATGGTACTTCACCCTACAGCAATTCATTTGTTTGTAAAGTATATAGGGGGAAAAACGTATAATTAGTAAAGACCACATTTTGGACGATTTGGTAATACCTGTTTCGAAACGACACTCATGCATACATGCATTAATACACACATATTTATATACATTTTTTTTTATGTAATCGTTGCAAACTCGATTCATATGACGCTTACGCAAAATGGAGTAGGACAATTATTACATACAAACATATGTTTTGAAAGAGACGACATCAATAACGGTAACAAACTTGAGCAAATCGATCTGATCATTAGATATAAGGTATGTGAGGACATTACGAGTAATTGCTGCTTTTTCATTATAAACCTCTAAGATGCTGCCTAAATGGACTATACTTCGATAAATATTTATTTACAAAAATAATCGATTTCATATCTTCAATATGACAACATTTGGTTAATACGGAATAATATTTAGGTTTATTTCTACGACTTAACTAAGGCTTAAATGCTGATATCTCTGTTTTAAGCAACTAATAACGGGTTTTTCAATAGGGACGCTAGGAAAGTAGACCGATAGGAACAGCAAGCGACGCCATATTTTGTCCGCTATTTAGCGTCTAGTGGAAAAATTTGAATCCACAGGCACAGTAGTAGGCACGTGATGTCGAGAATATTGCTGCCGCTAGCACATCAATTGAGGACGACCCAAATCAGTCAGACCCAAATCAATTTGGTGCGGTTTATAGGCCGGCGGCGTCATTGAGCCGTACTTCTTCGGTGATGATCTAGATTGTCAGGTTACTGTGAATGGGAATCACTACCGCTCAATGATAACCGAATATTTTTAGCCCGGCTTGGATGATATGGACTTGGATAATATGTAGTTCGAACAGGACAGAACCGCAAACCACACAGCGAATGTCAAAATCGATTTAAAGTTTGGTGAACGCGTTATTTCACGAAATGACCCAGACAATTGGCCTCCTCGTTCGTGTGATTTGACGCCGTTAAACTATTTCCTATGCCAACAATCGTACAAATATCGAACGTGAAATAGCAGCAGTATCGGCCAATTTATGCTTGGGTTCAGCGTCTGCTAAAGAAATCGAGTTCCATACATAAGGGCATTGAATGAAGAATTTCATTGATAATCCAAACCTTTTTTGTCTTATCTAAACTTTTATAGCGGTCTTATTGATAAACCCGTTATTTGTGTTTGTAAATAAGTAGGCAGTAGTTTATACGGAACATTCCGGGTCATACTTAATCATATTATAAGATTTTAAAATCACATCTAAATTGGTTTAATTTAAGTTGTATTAAGGCAATTGTCGCTTAATTAAAGTTATTAAGAATTGTTCAACTTTTCACTTTTTTGTTTCTCCAGCAACATTTTAAAAATAGAAATAATTTAAAATACCTAATATGTCTATCCATACCTTATGTTATATTATGCTTTCCGATGGATTCGTTCAAGCTCGCTTAACACTTAGTTATTGTTGTGTTCAATAATTGATCTACTACCCAACCATAATACTTACATGCAATACACCGCGGATATGCATTTTGGCAATCATTTCGGCGGTGAATAGCAGCGTGACCGCGGTGTCCGATGCGAATGTTATATACTGTAATGGGGGATGCCGCTCGAAAGTTTTCGGCGTATTCAATGAGACTGAGGCCAAGGATACTAAGGCGCATAAACGCATTAGTCGCCTTACCCACAGCTTATTCACCCATTCAATATCGGCACTTTCGTTAAGCGACTCCTCGGGACCATAATCGGCCAAAAACGGTTCGCCCCCCTTGAGGCTTTGCTTGCGGCCGAGCATCTTATTACCAATGCCCGTTGCTAGGCCCAGCCCAATAGGGGGGACGCCAGTTATGGCTGCGCTACTTGGGCCCATCGTACTACTGATGCCGCCACAGATGCCCATACCAACACCACCGCCAATCGCACCGCCGCCAACGCCACCAATACCGCCCATGACACCAGCACCAATGCCCGCACCGCTGCCGCTACCACTAGCGCCAAGACCACCGCCGCCAGCACTACTATTGCCAGCCGTATTTGAAGACACATTTTGACTATGCACACCCAATTGACCGCCGGCTATGCCGGTACCACCACTTGTTGATGTGCCCAACATTGGACCCATTGTGGGTAGCAGTGCCGGACCACTACTGGCGCTGCCGCTGCCCGAATTCACAACTGAAGGACTATTAACGCTGCTGGTTCCATCAAATCCATGTCCACTTTGTGCTGATGCCGAAAGTGATGCGCCAGCCTTGCGTGATATGCGCGATAAGCTGCCCGAACTATGGCCTTGACTATAACTGCCGCCGGTATTGAAGGTGAAATGGCTATGAGCCGACGTATGGTGATGGTGATGCAATGATGAGCGAAATTGTTGCTGTTGTTGATGTGGATGGGAATGCTGTTGCTGCTGCTGTTGTAGACTGTGCCCGCTGGAGGAGCTGGTGCTAGCTGGTGGAGTGGTAATTGTGCCGCCGCCACTCGTACCAGCACCGACACCACCGCCAACACCGGTGGTAGTAGCCGATATGGAGCTAGTGTCGCTACGGTTACTTGCAGCTCCTAAGCGACGCGTATGCAATCGGTCAATCATTCAAGCATGCAGATTGAACTCATTCTACGCGGCCGAACGCCAAGATGACACAGTTAGTAAACAAACTCCTTGTGATTTTGTGATCCAAAAAACTAAGATGTATCAAAGAAAGAGAGCTGAAATAACAACAGTTAAATATTGTAGTGTTTATTTTTTTTTTTTACTTTAAGACGAGATTTGAAACAATGATCCACTAGGTAATACTATCATTATTCAATTTTAATAATTGGAGAATTATTGATTAGAACTTTGAAGTAAATTGAGAATACAAAACCCAGACAATTGGCAAAGGTCAATAATCTGCCAAATATTCTGATTTAAAGACGCGTAACTTTTGCAACCTTTATTGAATATTAGACACGAATTCCCACAACAGCCGGTGTCCCGATACTAGAATTTATTATCTATTTACTGAAGTTATGGAGGGAACAGTTCTCCAGCCTGCTGAACGACAATGAAAGTGTAACATCAGAGTTTACCCGCCTGAAGAACAACAAAGCTTCAGGAGCGGATGAATTACCGACCGAACTATTCAAATGCTGCGGCGAAGCACTGAAAATGTGCATGTATAAGCTTCTTTGCAAGATATGGTCGGATGGAAACATGCACGATAATTAGAACTTAAGTGCGCTTTCCCCAATCCACAAAACGGGGGACCCAACAATCAGCGCTAATGACCGTGGAGAAAGCCTCCTTCATATCGGATATAAGGTCTTATCGAGCGTAGTGTGTAAAATACTAAAGCCGAACGTCAACAAAGTGATTGGATCTTATCAGTGTAGTTTTAGGCCTGGAAAATCTACCATCGACCAATTTTCCCCATGTGCCAAATTTTAGAAGAGGCCCGTGAAAGGAAGATTTACACACCACCTCTTCGTGGGTTTAAGGCCGCCTTCGACACCACGAAAAATAACTACACATTCGAACTGCAAAGCTAATCCGGCTTTGTAAGCTGACGTTGAGCAAGCCCGAAAACTCCGTCGGGGTCGAGAATGACCTCTCCGAGCTGTATTGAATAGCGAGGTTTCAGACAAGGCGATTCCCTATCGTGTGACTTCTTCAAACTACTCCTGGAGAAAAAAATTCGAGCTGCAGAGCTGAAAAGAGGAGGTACAATCTTTTATAAGAGTGTAATGCTACTGGCATACGCTGATGGTATTGATTTAATTGACCTCAACAACGGCGTGGTTAGTTTTGCTTTCTCTAGACTGACTCGCACGTCATCGCACGTGTCTTGGAATAAGCATCAACATCAACAACAATGTCAGCCTCGAGATCCAACGCAGAATCATCCTTGCCACCGGGTGCTTATTTGGACTAAGTAGGCAATAGAAAAGTAAAGTTCTCTCCCAAAGAACAAGGATCAAACTCTATTCCATCATGGACGTACGACATCACTTGATAAGTCGGCCTTACGGGAGGAAGAGGAATACTTCCATTGGAAGATCAGATGGAGAAGGACCTGGCTGCACGTGGTATCTCGAATTGGCGTCAAAGCCATAAGCGTTGTCTGCGCCGGTAAAGAAGAAGAAGAACCTAGTGAATTTTAGTCCATTATTAATAAATAAACACCAATGACCTTCTGTTGGCCGAAATGCGCTGCTTGTGGTTAGATGTATTATCAATGCTCTCTTCCAATCAAACAACCAGACAAACCGCTTTTAGATAACTGTTTACTTCTCCCTCAGCGCGAATACTCATTTAAAATTCGCTTATCTCTATGTTTTTGCTCCAACTATTATACTAATACGTGAGTATACTTTTCTCTGCGAAAAATCAATACACCTACGGTAGGATTATCATTTTTTTCAAAGTCACTTTTCTGCTTTTAAAATATGTTTAACTATTTATATTTATACTTTTGCGTAATTATAATGAACTTTAAAACAAACTTCAACTCTTCTTCTTTAATTTCAACACATTTTCTAACCAATTAGACACAATTCAAAGTTTTCACGCCCTGAAGTATGCTATGCTTTTTGCAAAAACTCTGTATTAAATTGAAATTGATGTTCATCAAATCGAAAATAAACACGTTTAATGCACTTTTAATTCAAATTTATTCACATTTTACCTAAAATCTACACCAGCATTGACAAAAATAATTTTTCAAAATATTTGCTTGTCCAAATTTTCACTTCTTTCTGGCCAAAATGTCAGTTTCGTTGGTGGACAAAATCAATACTGATAGCAGTGTTACATCCGAATGAGAACCTAACCGACGCATTCGCATCTTTGTGCATATGTATAACGGTATAGAGATAACGGCATATTTGTCTGTTCTGACCAAAAGTAATACGTTAATATATATGTACATATGTATATATAAGTGTAGATACAGACTAAAGTGATTTTTTCATTCATGCTCGTAAATTTGCTTATTGTCATTGAAGTTTTTGCGGCAAATTGGGTCAAGGCACACACATGCGCATACCGTAAGTGGAAATATAACGGCTTTCTATTATTTATTTACTTTTGAAAAAATGTACACAAAAAACAGCTGATCGCTGTTGACATATAAAGCCGGTCGCCGGTCGCCGGTCACCGGGCTGTTGCAGCCAAGTAAATCAATACGAAAGTTGAGCAGTATACAACTAAAAGTTTTGTATATAATATAAAGATGTGTGTATGGAGGTGAATTGTATCAGTCATGTATACAAAATGAATCGCATGCAGAGTTGTTTAGGCTCCGCAGCAGTAGTGCACAAAATATTTGAGACTTAATTATATATATATGTAGGTGTGAGTGTGATACCATCATATACATCTGTAAATAGTAATTTAAAAATCCAAAGTCAAATTAAAGCAAAATTGCATCAATTCCAAAATTGCGATATTGATTACCGACTGATTTCAGTTACATACTTTTTACTGAATTCTTTCTACTGAAAATTTAATTAATTTCATTGTATTATATAATGTACGTCATTTTTTTTTTTTTGAGATAATTACAAAAAATAATGTAAATATTCTAATAGAAGATTTCATAGATTTTGAATGAGGGCAGATTGCTGGTATTTCCCATCAATATAACTTGATTAATGAAGTCAAAAGAAATGTTGAGTTGTTTCCACCTCATCTTCTTCCATAGAGCTTCTGAAGATGGCATTTGGTAGCCTTCGCAATAGGGCAGTGGTCCGTTAAAATCCCCAAAAATAGGGAGCTTTACTTAGGGTAAAGAGATCCCGATATCTCTTGGGATCGATCTTGGGCCAAAAGGCTTTTACGACAGCATGACCCAACGCTGACCAAGTTTCCAAGAGTCCCAGCTATTCAGTTGTAGACCACAAGAGAGGATACGGGAGCACCTATCCGCTCCCATTATACTGATAGTGGTTCTAGGGTGTCTTTCCTTGCAACTCATCAGCTTTACAATTTCTTGCGATTCCGCTGCGGCCTGGCACCCATACCAATCTTATCACAAAGACATTCGATGCTATTGAAAGCGAGGTTAGGCACTCTTTGACCAGCTCTGAACGCTCTGTTAATGAGTGGCTGGTTCCATCCCCAGGATACTGCACTGCGGAGCAGTAAATCTACTACTACCTTAATGGTTGCAACTTCGCGCTGTCTTCCAGGGTTCGGTTTAGCGACCCCATGATCCAAGTGATCCGGTCACTTTGGCAAACTGAAAAAAAAGGAAAACCATTGACGTCGGCTGCTGTGCTATCTTTCACAAATACAAATACAAAATATTGGTCAGTTTAAAAGACAGCTATATACTATGTTCAAATCAAAAAGTTTCCCGAATAAGAAAAAGATTTTAAAGGGTTTTATTGAAAGAAAGGAACGTTAGTAAATTTTCGAATCGATATCTCAAAAACTGAGAGACTAGTTCGCGTATATACAGACAGACAGTCTGACAGACATTGCTTAATTGACTTAACTTGTCACCGTTATCATTTATATGTATAGAATTTTTTATTAATTTAGATTAATATTTCTTTTCTCTTATCATATGTTCCTCCGAATGATTAGCATTTATATTTATATATACTATATACCGGCGTTTTCGGGTTCTACAAACATCAAGGTTAACTCTCTCCTCTTCACTGTATAAATATTTTTTAAGGTGTGTCATTTGGACGAAGTGTAAAACAAAATATAAGTATAATAAGATAAAAACTTTAGGTAAGCATATACATTGCTTCAAAACAGGTTTCCAAAATTCTTCAGCATTCGACACCTACCACAAATACATATTGTTTTCGCCAAATTATTCAAATTAGTTTTTTACTTATAATATTCTAGGCAAATGACGACATTTTTTACGAACAAGCGCGTTAAAAATATAGTAATGTACATAAATATGTATGTCATGTACAAAAATAGCAATTTTGCGGTGATGACAACATGGAAATACGTGAGGAAGAGCATGATTATACTATTATATAAAAACCTCTAAAGAAAACACATAAATTTCGCATTTAATATCTAAATATTTTCTTATTACTTTGGTATGAACAAAAATGTTGTTGTTCATTGATATTATTGATTGTTAAACCGCATGAAATAACCGTAAATTGTAGGTATTTTAAACCAGTTGATTAACGCTCTACTAAGCATTGTGTAGGGAGCACGTCATAATCGTCACAGCTGAGCGGCAATAAGAATATTTGTCATTATGTGCTCAACAATATTCGCTGCGCTCCAAACCAAACAAAACTTTTTTTGTTTATCACTGCATTGACACCGCAAACCCACAATTCCAGCGCGATTTGCAAAGCAATTGATAAATTTGTTTCACTTGTGGTGATAGCTTTAAGTTGTTGATATACAGAGCGTAAAGCTCTCCGAGCAGCAAAACAATCAACAACAATCAAAATAATCACTTTACCAACAAGAAATCTCATTAATATTTATACTGCGCACGCCTGAGTTTTGGAACGCCAGCCAACTCGTGTTAGCTAACGAAATCTCAAAGAGACCTGCATAGAATCAAAGAGGAGAGAACAAAAAAATATTCCAAATTTCATGCATTACGTGCCATTATACTCTGCAAATCGTCCAGAAAGTCAAGTGCACAGCCAAAGTCAGTCGCAGTGATGAACTATTACGTGCAATTAATAAAATTAATATTCTAATTACATGAGTTCAAATAAATATCTATGAAATTAGCAAATAAATATATATGAAATTAGTAAATAGCTTTTTTTTTTATGTGCAAATCTAACTTTTCGTAAAAGCAGCGTATAATCTGTGTTCATCGCTAGTGAAGTAATCGCTGTCGCTGTGTAACAGCGTGTGTTATTCCAGTATTTGGTTAGTCGAAATAATTATTAAGTCAATAAAAAGCCATGGGTTCGTCGTCGTCGCGGAATGCTGCGTCCAACTTTCCCTCGCATGATGATCCAGCGTACCGGAAGTGTCAGGAACTGAAGGTAAGTAAATCAATGTACATGATATACACACATTTTATTATAATTATATAATTTCTGTAAAAATCGATCATTTAGATGGAACGTTGGATACAATTGCACTATCAGATAAAAGAGCGCGAAATGGCAACGTATATTGCTGGCAAACGTGAGCTCTTCTATTGGTTAAGCGCCTTCTATATGACCTCGAGCATTGGTTGCTGGCAATATTATCAGCACATTCGTCGAAAAGCGGCGTTGCTACCAATGGTTCCTTTGACCTTTGTTATGGCCTATTATGCCGATTTAGCTTACGGCAGCAAAGTACATCGCATTCAAGGTGTGTTTGGATGACTACCTGAGTCAAAATTGATTGAAAAGCCACTTTTTGTTAACTCCTATTTTTTGTTGGTTTTGTTTTTTATTGTAGCTGAAGCCAATATGATATTAGAGCACGAGAATGAGCTGCTGCACTGGCCTGGCGGCTTGCCAACTGTATCATCGCTGGATGAGGCACGTGTCGAAAATGAAATCGAAAAGAAATTACATCCACACCCTTCATAGGCTTATCCATTGACAGTTTATCTATGCTTTCCATGCTACTGAAACTTTTACATTTCATATATTGCTCAATGAAATAATTATTTTTCCAATTAATCACATTTGTATGTATTTAACCATTTTATATTCACTTTTTGAAATTTAAACATATATTTATGCAATTGAAAATTTGTGACAATATTCGAATTACTTATAAGATTAGCCATTTTCTAAACGTACATGTACTATATATATATACATACATACATACGAATATTTCGCAGTTATTGATGTGTGTAAACGGTTTTTTACTATTCAATATATTTATCTTGTCCATAATATAAAGTAATTTTGGAAATGTTAAAAAGATATTTTAAGTAACTCGAGTTCTAACTACATATTATATATTTCACGCACACACACTTGTATGAAAATAATAGAATCGAAATGTTATATAATATGTATAATATAGAATATATTATTATAAATTTGTATATGCAGGAAAAATATGTACACATTCCTCTACATATACAAATTAATGGCAGGACTTCGTTTTCGAGGGGTTTCAAACCTATCATTCACCCTTAATTCATGTGATTGATCATAGTACTTACTTACAAATATACTCTTAATTACATTTAATTAATTATAATAGTGTAAATTCAAAACATACGAATAAATAATAAAAAAGTGAACGAATAATTCTTGTTAGAAAAGTCGATACAGCTATTTGCTAATAAATATTTATTTCTTTAAAATCCTTAAGATCACAGAAGCATTTTTTTATATTTCACATTTACTTAAAAATAAATATAATACATTAGCAAGAGTATATACAATTCAATTACGAAAACTAGCAGAACCTTCAATAGAATGGCGCCTCTTCCTTTTCCCACAACCTTTTGTTAAGTAAATTGGCAGCACTTACAAAACGTTTACATCAAAATTCACATATATAATTGTATATTGACCTCAAAATTGTACCAAATGGGCAAATAAGACAATAATTTCCTAGATTATGTTAACAAATTCAATTGACTATTGGAATTGTGCTTCCACTTCTTTATGTTAATAAAAATAACTGATCCTGCAGCTCAAAAAGTTAAAGCAACATAGTGCAACCCAAAGTGCTCCAATTTTCTCACAGAACAATTGAAATGCAACTCTGTGTACAATTTGACAATTGAAAAGTAGTAACAGTAGCGGCAGTGCGACTTGGAAAAAGATGTAAATTTTCTTAAGGCGATAATTTGAGGAAAATACCTACAAATAAGTGTGAAAACAAGTGAAAAGTGTGCCTCGCACTTTGGTTATCATCTTTCGAAAGGAAAATCATAAATTTTGTCGCACAAAAGCAAAGGAAAGCTTGTGTGAAAGTAATCGACAAAGTCCACAAGAGGAATTTTTCAAATTTGCATTGTACACTCATTCTGATTTTACCACACAACCTCAACGATACCTTGTCCGCTGTTGTCTTCGTTTAATTGTATTTTGTGTCCCTATTTGCTTTTGCCTTTGGTTCGGAATTTTATCGTCTTCATCAAAGCAGCACTGCATTAGCAGTTGTACAGATATAGGAGGTGAAAAAAGCATTCGCTCATAAGATTTTAAAAGTGTCCACGATTGAAAACAATAAAGAAACAAAATACCAAAAAAGCGAGCGGAAGAAAGGCTGGAGTAAATAAAAGCTTCGAAAAGATAGTGAATCGTGAAAGCATCTGAAACAGAAGTTGATTTCAAAGAAGTAAAGCGGATAGGTAAAGGTAAAGACAATAGAAAAAGAACAGTTTGTGCGGGGTGTTAGAGACCGCCTGCTCGAGTGCCAAAGTGGAAGGAAAGCAAAAACGTAAGAAGAGCAGAACTGAAAGGGAGCAAAAATAAGACATAATTTTGACAGGTAAGAATGTAAGGAACATAAGAGAGTCACATTTTACCAATTTTCATTTCCCTTCATCATCTGCTCAGTGTGAGAATGATTGGAAAATTGAAAAATAAATAATATTTTTTTCACGTTCACTTTCATGTCTGACGTATTGACTAATGATTTTTTTATTTGTTCATTTCCGATTCTTAGTGAAAGATTTTGTATAAGGTCGCGTTGTAGCCAAAGACTCATCATCATAGCACAGCGACGACGAAGTGTGTAAAAGAAAAAGTGCGGTTGCGGGGCGCTGTAAAATTGAATTTAAAGCGTAATTGTGACGAGAAAATGGAAATCGAGCCCGACCAATCGATAGAGGCAATGGACACACAAGAGGTCGAAATAATCACAAGCGACCTGCAACATCAGCAACAGCAACAATTAAATAAGCTGCATTTGCCAGCAGAACAGCTGCCCAACGAGAACGGCAACGGTCCGCCGCAGCAATTACTAGCCGACAACACTTCGCCATACGCCAACGAACAGGAGATGACGTCCGTCGACGATCCCAAGGACGATCAGTTTCGTTCTGAAGCTACATTTTCATATACGGTGGACAATATAACGCAACTTAAGCAACAACATCTCTCACCACCCGTATATGTACGCATGTTGCCATGGAAAATTATGGTAATTCCAAATGATCGAGCGTTAGGTTTCTTCCTTCAATGTAATGGCGAAAACGAATCACCTACATGGTCGTGTAACGCCATCGCTGAATTGAGACTGAAATGTCACAAACCAGATGCACCACCATTTACTCGTGCGCGTATAAAGCACCTTTTTTACTCCAAAGAGAACGACTACGGTTATTCAAACTTCATTACGTGGTCAGAACTACAGGAGCCCGAAAAGTGTTACATACACAATGGCGCTATCACATTGGAGGTGCACGTTGTGGCAGATGCACCGCACGGTGTGCTTTGGGATTCCAAAAAACATACTGGTTATGTGGGACTTAAAAATCAAGGAGCAACATGTTATATGAATTCATTGCTACAAACACTATATTTTACTAATCAATTGCGACGTGCTGTTTACAAAATACCGACAGAGGCCGATGATAGTACTAAGTCGGTCGGATTATCATTACAACGCGTTTTTCATGATCTACAATTCGGCGACCGCCCAGTAGGCACTAAAAAGCTTACCAAGTCATTCGGTTGGGAAACACTTGACTCGTTTATGCAACATGATGTACAGGAATTTTTACGAGTTCTACTTGATAAATTAGAATCAAAAATGAAGGGTACATGTTTAGAAGGCACCATACCGGGCTTGTTTGAGGGTAAAATGTCTTCGTATATAAAATGCAAGAACGTTGATTATAACAGTACACGTTACGAAACCTTCTACGACATACAGTTGAACATAAAGGATAAAAACAATATCTACGATTCTTTCAAGGATTATATAGCATCAGAGACACTTGAGGGTGATAATAAGTACGATGCGGGTGTGCATGGCCTCCAGGTGAGTTACATTTGCTGAAAAGTAAAATTTTATAATGTGCTAGTAAATGATGAAAACGTATGAAATAATATTTTAAAGTTAATTCCATTTGGATGAAATATTTTATTGTTTTGCTTGTTTTAGGTTAGGTTCCGTTTGATTTCTTTAAGCCATTATAATTATTTATTAGTAATATTATTATTATTTTAATGAAAGTAGACACGTTGACTATATTGTTGAGAATTGTACGAACTTATTTCCTTTGAATTTCTTTTGTTCGTTATAGGAGGCAAGCAAGGGAGTTATCTTCACGGCTTTTCCGCCCGTCTTGCATTTGCACTTAATGCGATTCCAATATGATCCAATAACAGATAGTTCCATCAAATATAATGATCGTTTCGAGTTTTACGATCGCATAAACTTAGACGAATATTTGGCTGAGAAAGAGAAGACACCTGCCGAGTATGTTTTGCATGCAGTGCTTGTACATTCGGGCGACAACCATGGCGGCCACTATGTGGTATTTATCAATCCGAAAGCGGACGGAAAATGGTTTAAATTCGATGATGATGTCGTCTCCAGTTGTCGTCGGGTCGAAGCCATTGAACAGAATTACGGTGGAAACGATGATGAAATCTCGTTCCATGCAAAATGCAGCAACGCTTATATGTTAGTCTACATACGTAAATCCGAATTGGAACGCGTACTCAGCGATATACCCGAAAATGAAATACCCAGTGAATTAGTAGAACGTTTGGAATTGGAGAAACGTATCGAAATGGCACGTCGTAAGGAGCGCAGCGAGGCAAATTTATATGTATCCATACATGTTATCCTTGAAGAATACTTTGAGGCGCAACAAAAGCGGCGACTCTTTGATTTGGATAAAGTGCATCAACGTCTATTCAAGTTAAAACAAACACAAACCGTCGAAGAGATGATGGACGCGTTCGTGAAGTCATTTGGTGTGCCCAAAGATCGTATGCGCCTCTGGATTCTGTTTGCGACACAATCGCAAAAATTTCTGTACTTTGATTTCCAACGAGAGGGATTGAGTCCAATTGAGCAAGTCGCTTCTGCACAGAAACCATGGGTGATCTTCATAGAGTTGGCGTCACCACTTGTACCTGGCCGCCCGTTGCCACCGTTTAATCCCAAACAAGAAATGCTGCTTTTCTTTAAGTATTATGATGCATGTAATAAGCGTTTAAATTATATTGGCTGCTCACAACAGCCACGTAGTCGACGTTTAAGCGAAATTATCACGGAGGTGAACACGCACTTGGGCTTTGAGCCAGACACCGAATTAACGGTATTCGATGAATGTCACGACAAAAAAATTACCAATATCAATGAACCACTAGAGAATGTGCTTTACCTTCATCCGGACAATCTGCAGGGCAATATATTAATATTCGAAAAGGAACATATTGACATCAAACTAGATTTGCCTACCGTCGAAGATTATTTCTTGGATTTGGTGTATAGAGTGGAAATCACGTTCTGTGATAAATGCAATCCGAATGAACCGGAAATCGTACTAGAGCTTTCCAACCGTTACAATTACGATCAAATGGCAAAAGCGGTCGCAGAGCGACTGAATACCGATCCAAACAAATTGCAGTTCTTTATGTGTGTCAGTAGTTACAAAGAGACACCCGGCAATGCTGTTCCATACACTTTCAAGGTGAGTGCACACCAGCAAGAATATTTAATTCATGTAAAATACAGTTTGTAGAGATTATGAAAATTATTTCAGTTCCTTAGTTGTATATATATTTCAATATACGAGTTTGTTTGGTAGTTTTTATGGTCTAAGGTCATATACTAGTGTCTGACCGATGCCGATTAATTGGACAGTTTACAAAGAATCGGCGGATGCCGATCTCAATTTATTAAAAAAAAAAAAACGATCCAGATATGATTTCTTTTTCTAACATGGAATGACGTCCGAAGAAAGTTCAATTTCCCATTTTCTTGCCCGATAATGGCTGATGCTGATGTCGATTAATCGGCCGGTCCCTACCATATAGCAATTACAGGGGAAAAATTAGTACTCACCAGTAGCATGACACTGGCACCTCTTTCCATGCCGCACCAACCCCACTCATCTGACACCCCTCTTCCTTTGGTCCAACACCGTCGAAACAGCACGTTCCTTGGGTCTCCCGGTCGACGACAACTTAGCAAATCCTTACCATCCCAACGGGGACTAATTATCCAACAACAACAGGGGGAAAAAAATTCTGTTATATAGGACTTGGAAATTTGTCTCTGTTTTCTATTTAATTTTTTTTTTTAATAAATATGTTATATTTAATTAAATAAAAATTTAATTCCAGGGAACTGTTAAGGATCTAGTCGCATACTGCAAGCAGAGCGCAACCAAAAAGCTCTTCTATCAAAGACTGTCTCTCAGCATCCACGAACTCGACAATAAGAAACAATTCAAATGCATTTGGGTCTCAAATGATCTTAAGGAGGAAAAAGAGCTAGTACTGTATCCCAATAAGAATGAGAATGTCAAAGGTCTATTGGACGAGGCTGCCAAAAAGATACAATTCGCTGAAAATAGTCGCAAGAAATTGCGATTACTTAAGGTGGCCAATCACAAAATCGCCACCATATACACAGAAGATATGCCGCTGGAAGCGCTACAAAAGACCAACGAAACGATGACGACACAAAGTGCGCAGAAGACTTTCCGCATTGAGGAAGTGCCTGCCGAAGATATGCAACTGGCCGAGAATGAGATACTCGTGCCCGTGGCACATTACAGCAAAGATATATTCAATTCCTTTGGTGTGCCATTCTTGATCAAAGCGAAACATAACGAACCATATGGTGCGCTAAAACAACGCATACAAAAGCGTCTGAATGTGCCCGATAAGGAGTGGGAGAATTTCAAGTTTGCCGTCATCTCGATGGGGCATGCGAACGAGGTTAACGACAATACACCGGTCGATGTGGAGATCTATCGCAGTTTTAATGCACATTTGCCTTACTTTGGACTAGATCACATAAATAAATCCAGAAAGCGAACATCCTTAAATTTCTCCGAGAAAGCGATTAAGATTTACAATTAAATTAGAATATAATTGGCGAAAAACAACAAAAACATAACAAAAGATGAACTCATTGTGGGATCGATAAAGTGTGCGTGCAAATAACAACAAAAACAAAAATATGTAATAACCGAGAAAATGCGAACTGCCGAATTGGAGGAAAATATGCGGAGAGAAGCAAGAAAACAGCGGGTAGTATTGTAGCTGAATAATTTTAAAATGGAGCTTTATGGCTAAAAGGCGAGAGACGAGTTTAAATTATAGCACGATAAACGATAAAAACAAATTGGAACCATAACAAAAAAGTTGCTAATGTATGTCTTGTTCTTATGTTTACATATGCTGCATATACGCCGTAAAAACAATAACAACACGAACATACTTACAAATAGCTGCAACCGCAATGGCAACAAAACAAAATATGTGTGCAGCCAACAACAAAGTGAAGCAAACAAGTAACCATCCGACCGACCGACAACCAAACAACCGATTTGTTAATCAGCCAACTAACCAACCAACAACAATTTTAAGCGCAAACAAGCAAGCAAAAGTATTAAAAGCGGAACCAGCAATGGCAACAATAAGAAGCGTAGAGTGTTGGTGAATTGTTGTTTTCTTTTATAGTTTCGAATGTGTTTCAAAAGAGCTTCGCCTGCAAAATTTTCACAAAACTCACAATTACACAAACACTCTCTCTCACACACACACACAAACAATAGAGCATAAACTATAAATGGAAATACAGAACACACTTTAACAAAACAAATAAACCGAACTTTAAAATTAAACTAAAATAAAAAATATTAAATTAAAAATGTACTACTTTAATATATATATATATATATATATATATATATAAATATGTATATGTATATTTAAAAATTAACTTAGGCGTACGAATGTAAAAGAAAAAAACTAAAATTTACGCAAAACTTTGTTATGCAAGTAGCAACTTAACAATCGACGACGGTGCTGGTGACGTTGGCTGCGACGTTTACTGGCTGATTGGAATCGACATAGCAAGTACGATATTGGTGAAGTGCGTTATAGTTTGCATTTTGTTTAACGAGTATTCGGGCGCTCTATGCGCGCATATAAATTGCAGATGTTAGTTAGGTGCATTTCACGAGCCACAACTGTCTCTGTATACCTCTACCTGATTTCATTTGGCGAATCAAAGCAATTTTGCACTACCGCAACATTATTCTTGAGTATCGCAACGCATGCGAAGTCGCTATATAAATTTAGGCAACAGCAACAAGAACATCAACATGGAAACGCATTGAATGCAAGTAGAATAATTTGAAATATACATACATATACATAAACACACTTATATACATATATATTATATTAAAGAGAAAAAATAGAGATATACATAAATTGAATCTAACAAAACAAAATGATGCGATAATAATTTTTAGATAACCCATTTAGTACATCAGTAAAAACGCCAACGCATACATACGTAAAAAATTCACACACGTACATATTACTTTTGCGTCAAAAGGATTTTAACTACTTCCATATCACACATAATCTGAAAGGGTTCTTTGTTCCACTAACACCAACACATCCATAAGAGAATGCTGCACAGTGATTATGCGTATGATTGATTGAGAGTGGTGAGGAGGAGTTCGTACTTCTATTTGATATTGTGAGCTAAAACCGTTTTTTTTAAGTTCCGGGGCGGTTGTGTATATAATTGTAAGCAAAGCTATTTGTATGCACCGAGTATTCCGTTGATTATTGTTAATTTTTTTATTAATACATATGTATAATCAAAATTAATTTGTTTTAATCAATGCATTTTGTTTTTCTAAAGAAATAGATTACACTCGACTTTTATCTCAAAGCTGCTAGCTTTTTATACATATCTTGAATTTAGTATGTTAAAATAGCTAATGTGAAGCCTAGCAGAGGTAGGTATTTTAACTTTTAGTGCAAATACGGAATGTTCTATACACTTGGAAGACAAAAAATACGAATTTTTGTCATTTTTTGAAGAGACATTTTATTTAGTCGTTAAATTCAAAAAAATCGCATTTACAGAATTTCATGAACTTCAATAATCGGCGATTTATTTTTAAAAATTTTAAATTCCTTTGTTTCCGTAGCCCATCTCCAAAAGAACATCCGACAATGGTGTCCAGCGGTGAGGAAGATTTTTCTACTCAAAATGAGCTCAGAACCAAAAATAACAAAATAATAATTTTTACTACAGATGAATAAAGGTACCGATTAAAAATGAGTCAAAATTTTGGTTATTGGTCAAAAGCTTTTTGTTTTTTCCTTTTTGTGAAAAACTGCACTTCAGAGTTTAATGTTCGGGTTTAAAAAGTTTATTATTACAAATATCTTCAATACCTACCTGACATATGTGTATATCTAAGAAAATCGTGTGAAAATTTCAAGCCTATTGGTCCAGTTGTCCTGAAATATTTTTCTCACCGACTCTGTAAAACCCTTTTAGTGATAAACGAGATTTGAGAGCCTATTACACTAAGTTGAAAAATTCTTACAAACACGTTCTATCTTCTGGATCAACTTCAAATTAATTTTCGGAGAATATTTTGGTTTCGAAATTCACAAATGGATATAGTCTTTTAATCGAAAAAATTTAAGAATTTATTTACATCGTATTTCCCTCCTTATTTCTCGAGACAACTTTTCTTGAAATTTCAGGTTGGCTCAAAAATTTACATTTTAGATATATTTATTATGTGCTAAAATACTGCAAGTTATATGAATTAAGCCGATCACCTAATCTATTAAAAGTTAATTCATTTAAACTATAATTTTTTTTTTACATTTTGGATGACAGGTTTCGTCAAGCGGTCCAATATGTGAATGTTGCAATTTCAATTAAGTAATAATGAATAGTATTTACATAATACTGTTTTTTATTATGTAAAAACGAATGAGAGAAGACGATTTTAAGGAAGTAAACAAATAAAAATGATATACGTTTTATTTATATTGAGTTTATGTTGCCCAAAGTGAAAAATATTACAACCAAATTAAAAATAATTTTTAAAAGAAGAGACAGAAATTGGGATATACATAACTAAGTATGATTTAAATTTATTATACACATCATATAAGTACATACATACATATGTGTATGTAAAAGTTATTGCAGTCAAAACAAATAGAAAAAGATAAAAATAAATAAACACTATTGAAAGCGAAAACAACGGAATATGCCAATTAAATATTGTTAAAAATGTTTAAGTATATTAAATTATCAAAAAACAACAATAATATTGATTTTATAGCGGTTGATATGAAAAATTTAATTGTTTGGTCACTATCACCTGTATAGACTTCACATCAATCTTAACCTATAACCCGATTAACGGATCTTTTCTAGAATTTCAGCAATACAATAGAAAAACTTTCGACGAATATCATTTCCATTATATTTATTTTGACATTTATATACCGAATCTGCATATTCAAGGGGTTCAAAAATATACAAATTTACAGTATTTTTTTTTTTTTAATTTCAAAACTACAAATACACAATATGGTATTGAACACAAATTATTTAAAATTTTCTGCGTTTTAATATCTCCGGACGCCAATTGACCGGATGCGTCTCTTCACTCGCCTCATTGTCTTCCTTATAAATTTTTATCGTTTTGTCTGCCTCAGCTGTGATTAAACGTGAACCAGACTGATCAAAGCACATTGCAAAGATACCGGCTTCACTGTCCATTGAACCCGGCTGAACAGGCGCTTGGAAACGTTGAAAGTTGTAGCCAGTACGCCAGTCCCAGAAGAACATTGTACCATTGTCACCACCCGAAACCAATACACCATCCGCATTTACAGCCATGCAATTAACAATGGCATTATGGCCGGATATATTTTGCACAAAATTACCCTCAGGGCAGCGCCATTGCTTGATATTGTCTGGTGATGCCGAAGCAAACATATAAAGCGTTGGATGTAACACAATACTGCGCACAGATTTCTTGTGGTTGGTTAATGTGCAAACACTTTTGCCAGCAGCCAAATCCCATAAACGTACTGTAGAATCATGTGAACCGGTTATAATTTGCGGATTAGTTGCTTGCGCAACCACACTGGCAACTGTATTCGTGTGCCCAGTTAGTGTGTGTATGTTGGCTTTAGTTCGCATATCCCAAATGCGTGCCGTGGAGTCACGACCGCATGTGGCTAATACATCGATTGTTGGATGGAGCGCCATGGAATACACAGCAGATAAATGACCATGGTAATGTCGAATAACCTTATTATATTCGAGATCCCAACATTTGACTTGACGATCTTCACCACAACTGAAGAGGTAAGGATGCTTAGTACTCACTGCCAAGCCGCGAACGGTGCTCACATGTCCGGTGAGTGAGAGTTTCAATTTACCACTGGCTAAATCCCAAATTTTTATAACACGATCACCAGCACCAGTTGCAAACCACTCATTACCAGGTTCTACAGCTATGCAGCGCACCCAGCCCAAGTGGCCTACGCAAAAAGAATACAATATAAAATTATAAAAAATAGTTGTTGATATTCGTTAATTAAGGATATTTACCAGAAATAACTCGTGACAATTTCCATGGCGCATGCCATGTAGGTTTTGGAATAGTAGGTGCCTTTTTGGGTATTAATTGTACATTACTGCCCGTTGTACCGGTGCGCACCCCTGATGCGGCCACAAGTGATGTGTTGCCACTTACATGTTCCAGTCCACCAGTTGCAGTTTTTTCTGTTGCTGCTACCAAGGCGTTATTGTGCTCCCCAGCCAAGCTGCCATCTGTGATGGCGAGTGGACGTTCTGGTCCTTCTAATGCGCCACCAGGTGCAGAAGCAGCTAATTTTTTTGCTTCAGCAACTTTAGAGACACGATCAAAAACTAGACCATAAGTATCCTTTGCTTTAATGGATTTCCGAATATTTAATCTGAAAATTTTAATTTAGTAATATCTGCTTAAGCTGACTTTACTTTACTCACAATTTTTCGTCGATTTCGGGCAATGCGCTCTGATTTGATACAAACATGTCGTGTGTGCGCTTTAATGAACGAAATATTAGCGTATGTACGCTGTGGCGCTGCACTTCTTCCATTTTATAATTGCTATGTTCTTATATATGAAATTAATTTACACCTATTAATTTTACTTAAATTAAAAGTTCGCCTATTTTCAACCAATGCATCGCATGTATAAAATAATAAACAGAAATAAATCCACACACAGGGTTGTATTTTTTACATGTTGAAACTTTAACCCTGGTGTGGTACATTGAATAAATAACTTAATAAAATAAAAATAATTAGCTTAGCACTTGTGTGGGCAAGGAAAATGAATTAATTAAATAAATTAAAATAAACAAAATAACATTATATAAACTATGAAAAATGTTTTATAAAAATAAATCATAATTTTTTTTATTTTTGACTAAAATTTTTTTCTCAATAATCATTATATTCGTTGAAAATTTTTCATGAAAAATTATATAAAAAAGTTTTTAAAAAAGTACCAAGATTATACTCAAAAAGTAAATAAATACGCTTTTGTAAACAACTCTCGACAATTGATTCTGATTGGACCGAATCAATGTAAATTCATATTCTATCTAGTTTTGTCACCTTAGCTGTTTAACAAATTCTATTTAGAAAACTTTCTACAAGATAAACAACATTCTGTGATTTTTTAAATATATATTTTTTTTTAAACGATTTTTGTGGTCTTTTCTATTAATTGGCTGGCACAGGTGAAGCTGATGCCGCATTACTCGACGATGTACCTACTGAGGCCGAAGGTGCTGATGATGACAACGACGACGATGTGGACGAAGAAGCTGAAGATGTACCCGCAGCAGCTGAGCTATTATCTTGGGAGGAGCCCTCGAAAAATTTCTCAATCTTAAATGAAGCAAAAGATGAATATAAATTAGTTGCATTTTCTTAAGCTAGTAGCATAATACTCACCATTTTCTTTATATAATTGCATAAAGACTTGTTGTTTGAAGTTGAAATGACATTTTCCACTCTATACGGTGGAGAAACGGTGACTTCGTTAAATATTTGTATGTTGGTACCTTGCCAGGATACTTCATTCGACTATAAATAAATTACTAGTTATTTAAATTGAATGCAATATATTGTTATTTACCTTAAACTGCTTTGCAATTGTTCTGTACAATTCCTGTGCTTCTAAACTAACATCCGCATTTCTTGACTTAAGATAAGTTTGTCGTTGCTGCACTGTATTGCGAAGTCGAATTTTTATCTACAAAAGAAAAAAAAAAAAGAATTTGAACGTTATCCTTCTTTATATATTGTTCGTTTTTTTTTTTACTTGTTCCAAGTTCAGCTTTTGTGGATCTTCAACAAAGTTGCCATTACACTCCTTGATCACTTTTACATTGCTGCATAGCGACAAATTCAGCACGTAAACATCATTTAGTTGCTCTGAGTTTTTCGAACGACATTCTATATAAATTATATTGAAATTAAGGAAAACCTTACATCTATTTGCAATACCTTGAGCAATCTAAAAAAAATTTTTAAATTTTTACCAACACAACAAGTACTTGAAACGTTTGATTCTTCACTCACAATTCATTTACTCGATCCTATGGATTACTTAATTTACTAATGCCGTATACAATAATATGATGTAATGCAATTGCTTTTGGATTCATCACTATTCAAATATTGAATAATTAATATTAGTTTTATTTACCTTTCGCGCTCAGGCATAGAATTGAACACCTGTTTGTATTGTCAACTATTGACATATGTACCACTACTACCATAATACTAAATTAGTGTTCATTGGCTCAAAAGTCAATACGGATGATTGACCTCAGTATTGTTACTCATATTGCAGCTTTCTCCAACTCATCGCAAATTCGCTTATATTATATTATACATGAACATGAACTAATGGAATCATTTTTCAAAAACTACACTGCACCATATAACTTCTGTATAACTACTTTTCAAAAATAATTACATATTTCCTAAGATCGCCGTAGTTTAATTTCAAAATCTTACCAAACATATGTTTGCTAACTCAAATAAACAAAAATTATTACTCTCTCAATAATTTTATGATATTTCTGCTTTGATTTTAAAAAGGATACTTAAAATTAGCATTTTTGTGTTGTGATCAAATGCTAGTACTTCGCCTTCCACTTCCTCGTTGAAACAGGTCGTGCACAGCACAGATGATCCAATCGTGAAGCAATCATTTACCGCAGCCATTTTTAATGAAAGCCGCCACACAACTCAACGATGATATCGCGAATTTAGGTGAATAATGATATCGCTAATCAAATTAACGGTGCTGATGTTTATCGTTTACTTTCGAATTGTAAGTCGCCACAATTATAAACAATCAGTAAAAGCGTTTACCAATGCAGCAAAATGCGGTCGTGTCTCTTTTATCGCTCTTTGCTAGAGCTCCGTGCATACGTTGACTTGTGGAAGTATTTATATTGTTGTTTTCGTTTCGGGTTTAAAATTTTTGGTCACTTGCTTTCAATAACAATTAAGCATCAATTCACAACAATTGAGTAGGTGTTAACTGTGCCCGTAACTCTTCGATTCTTTTTATAACAATTATTATATACTTTTACTGACACCACTGCTGTTGCCGCTGTTCGATCACTTTTCCCCTATTTACTTATGAAGTAATTTTCTGTGTTCTTCCCTTGCCTATCATTTATTTTTATTGCTCACATATATACTATTGGCAACTTTACTATTTGCAAATTAAATGCAATTTGCAGTAATATATGCGAAATAATTACGTTTTTTCACACAGTGAAAAATAATAATAAACGACGTATGGAGACGTTATCCAAAAAATTTTTGGTTAAAGCTCTAAAAAACGAGCGGAGCGAAAGGAAGGAGATGGCAAGTTGAAAAAACACAATCCAAGTTTCTCTACGTGCACGATATTCTTCCACACGCACACACCCGCATGTTGGCGCGTGGCGAATGAGGACAAAGATAAATGCCAAAATGACAGCAGTTTTGTGTTTTAAAAAAATAATATTACTATTGTTTACATTTATCTGAGTATTCTAAGTAAAATTAGATTAGCATTTTAAGATAAAGTAAAATTATAATTAATATTATTGCAAATATAACGATACTTCCTTTCCCATCTTTTTCAATAGAAAATGGTGTTGCAACCCTACCACCATCAAGAAATGTAAACAAAAGAGCCGCCGGTTGACTGGGCGAAACAAAGTTTATACAGAAATGTTATCAAATAATTAGTTTTGTTATCGGTAATTGTACAAAACCTCACAAATTTTAAGGATATAAGTAAAAATAGTTGTATTTAGATGTGTCGCAGTAGTTTAAATCATCATTCCATTACTTTCAGTTAGCCCTTGGTATAAGTATACATTTATAACAATTTATTACCACGCCCTAGTTGACAGTCATTGGCCGGATAAAAATCCGGGTCCGTTCCGGTTTTCGTAGACCCGACTGTCGTGGGAATGGTAAAGTTTTTCATCTCCAGCGGTTATTATTATTTTTATGCACTATGTCATCATTGATAAGATCAGAAACCCTACTTTACATGGTGTTACTTTTGCTATTACAAAATTCCTACGGTCCGGTAGGAGCTATTAACCATTGGATCCTCCAAGATGATGGACGTATTACACAAAAAATTGACTCTCCATTTTTACTGCGTGAACCACATAATCTTGTAACATTTCTGGATCAAATACAACATAATGACTACGTGGAGCAGTCTTATCTAAAATTGAAACGACAACGCAAATTAATTGCAGAGCATTTACGTTATTCTAAACAATTCAGTGAGGATTTGGTTTTGCAGGCGGAACGCTTACAGCCACATTTAGGCGCACAGACACAACCCATGCAAAATTTGATTAACTCGTTAGAAGCGCTTACTAAGCAAACGTCAAAAATGTACAGGTAGGATGAGTATATATGAAAAGGAATTTAGGACCTCTTCATTTATTTACAATTAATATAGCTACTTGGAGTTAGTCAAAGATGAATTGAAAGAGTTTAGGAAGCTGAAAACACAAATTACCCAGCATCATGAAAAATTGATACAACAGCAGGTTTAACAAAACGTTTTTAACTCTTATACCTAAAAACAAAAAATTAACGAACTCTTTACTCATAGGTGCCCCTTGCCTCACGGCAATTAGATGAGAAGGTGAATAATGAGGATCTACTAAAACGTGGCCAATACTGTAGTACACGAACTTTTTCGAGAACAGAAGATCCAGTTTTATTTTGTGATTTTTATTCCGATATGCAAATGCGTTTAGATGGAAAGGATGTGGATCTTGAAACCTTAGAGCGTGATTGGCAGCTGACAAGTGAATCTGTGCTGAATCAAGTGACTAATTTGAATGTACAACAACGCATGAACTTGGAACAAATAAAAGCTATGCGTGCTAAGAAAGCTGCTGCCGCGGCAAGTGCTAAAAGTAAGAAAGTGACGCCGGTTTCGTTAGCAATAGGCGATATCCCCGATGCTAAAAGTAATGATACATAAGTAAGAAAATCGTAATCGCAATACTAATAGCTTTAAAGACAACACATTAATTAAGTTTAGTTGCTTTAAATTTGGCCTTTTTTAATCGAAACGTATAAAATAACAATTTTTATTAAATAGGTATCAATAAAATTTTATTATCTTTCTTAAAATATCGCACAATATAAAATATTTAGTCATTTGTTTAACAAGGATTTGAAAATGATCACAAAGTTCCATCGTAAAATTTTAAACTTAAAACGAGTATTTTACGGTCCGTTATGTTTACCACTCGATATCAATCGTTTGCAAAGCATTATGCATTTCTCTTAAACTAGAATACACGTGTGTAGGTTTAGCCTTTTGAGTCTCATCAGCCGACTTTGTAATGAGCAAACTGCTCCAACCAGCATTGCGGGCACCTACATAATCCTTTTCGTAAAGATTTCCAATATGCAATGCCTCAGAAGCATGCACATTATACTTCTCTAAAGGTTTCAGAAATGCACCACAATGCGGTTTCTCAACACCCAAATCATATGAGGTGTACACGAAATCAAATTCATGTCTTATATTCATGCTTGAGAGCACACGTTCCAAGCCGGGATCACTATTAGATATGACACCAACATATTTAGTAACATCACGTATCATTTTTAATAATTCTACATTGCCCTCTATATGTACATAGCACTCATTGGAGCGATACTGCTCGAAAAGGCGTTCGCTAATGCTCCGTATTTGTGCTTGCGATAATTTGTCGTCTACCCGCTTAAAGACGTTGTCCACCAGCAGCATCCACCAGTTCTGCCATGTTATTTCTTTCGAATTTCGGCCGTAAATGGGATATCTCTTGGTCATGTTTTTAAATTCTTCGCGAAATAAATTTTGTATTTTGTTTGGATCAAGGTTTTTTACGCCCATTGATGCCGCAGTCTTCGCATATTGCACACCTGGAGGTTTGCGAAACCTCAACAATGTATCAGTGATGTCAAATGTTACTAGGCGAAAACGATTCAAGTTCTTAACAAACTGAACATGACGATTCATTCTGATTAGCCTTGATTTAAAATATTTTTGTATGTCAGCACCTTTTGTTATTATTGAGGTAATTAGTTTGTTGTTATTGTTAGCCGGTAGATAGTTTGTTTACAGACAACCCAACCTGTTATCTAATGAATAAAAAATAGTGAACAGCTGCTTTGAGATAACAGAGATGTAATACGTTCAAGGAATTGAAGTTGTTGCCTAAAAAAAATAAGAATAATGGCGAAATTTTCATAAATCGCCATTTTTTCGGTATTTAAACTAGAGGAATTTTTTCAATTGTTTATGTAAATTTCCTAATATAATTATATTCCTAAACTCAAAGTTACAATAATATTTTTTTATTATTATTAATAATTCAGTAAAGGAACAGACAGGCTTGCTTGCAACCCTGCTGCTAAATTTAACCGCTCAAACATCAACAAAATTCGCTATAATTTTATTAGTTAAGTGATTAAATCAATTAATAATAATAAAAATGTCGGAAGAACCTCCAAAAATCCGTTTTAAAAACCCACAGTATAGCTATATTGAACCTGGTGGCAAAAAGCACGTCTTTAAATCACTCAAACAAATACTGGCGGTGGAGAAAACGCAACAGTGGCCAGAAGGCACAATGTCGTGTGAGTGCACTTGTTTTAAATTGTTATCACCAATATTTGTTTACATATGTATATAATATATATATTTGCTTACATTTTATCTCTTCCAGACACCTCCTTTAATGCGCCACCCTCTTTGCGACCACCCAAAAAATATTCTGACATATCAGGTCTGATTGCGCCGTACACTGATCCTCACTCTAAGTTGCGTTTTGCTAATTCTGAAGAATATACCGTGGTAAAGACTTTGCCTTCCGATATTGTCGCTGGTTATTTGGCATTACGTGGTGCTAGTAGTATTGTTGGCTAGTAATTAACCAATTTAGACTAAATAAAGATAATAACTAATAATTAAGAACGAAATACAAAGTTAATTAGCAGAAATCCAAGACTATAAATGCTGCAGTTTCCCGAAAAATATTTAGAATTTTGAATTCATTAATTTAATTTCGGATACATTTAAGCAAATTCAAAATTGTGGGTGAATTGGAAACCAAGTAAGCACTTCTTGATTTTTAATATAATATATAAGACAATAGTAACTACTTGAACATTTTATCACTAAATAGTTTTATGGAACTACTTATCACAAGTTATATGTTCTATTGTTATTGTATATATTTATATACATGTATATATTTATATTTATTAACAACTAAAACACTTAAACTCTTATTAATTTTTTGCTTTATTTATACTGATCTTATCCCTAAATTTACTATGTTTATGAAAATAATTATATTTTTTTCGATACGCTGCAAAAAAAAAAAAAAAGGAAACAGTTTTCAGCTTGAAAAAAGGTGTAATAACCCTTGTGAAAGGGGGTAAGTCGCGATCGCGATCTGGCGATGCCAGATTCAAATGTTAATTGTTCCAAATACAATATTAGTGTACTATCAACTACTTCATTATCACCAAAGTAGAATGCCCAAAGAAACGTTGTTGTCAACTTACAAGGTAGTCGGCCGGCCGTTCCTTAACTACGCCGCTCCAATATGATCGCCTGGATGCAGTGGAAAGCAGATGAAGAAGCTTCAGATTTGTCAGAACACTGCACTCCGCACTATGGCAGGGTGCCTTTTGATTGATTGAGTTAAGGAGCATAATGAACTCCTCTCCAAACAGTTCCTACTGGGGTGCTTTCGCAGAAATTATCCCCCACCTATTGCAGACGAAGAGCTTGAGTTGCTGGAGCAGGTTAAATTTCTACTTATCCAAAATAGACCCTGATATATCAAATATGTGTTAAGGGTGCAATGGGTTCCGGCATGACACTGGCCACCTTTTTGCAAGCCCGGCTATCCCTACTCATCTGATACCCTTCAACCTTTGCTCCTACCCCATCGAAACAGCACTTTTCTGGGCTTGTCGCTGAACGTCGTCTTATCTAATCCTTACCATCCTAACGGGATTAGGTACCCGTAACAACTACATTCTTTTCCTATACCGTCCCCGCAGTAGTCGCGTCTACGACAGCATTCCTCCAAAATACTTCAGAAATGTTTTCTGCCGCTCATAATAACAACAACATTCCTTACCTATACAAAAGCTTGCATTCGCATAGAAGATGCTATTCAGTCCCTTAAGGCCAAGTTCCAATAAGGCAGTGAGCGGTTAGCACTCCTACTAGAGTTCTTACGTCATTCCTTTCGCATTTCAAATGTCTTTATGCGCGGCCCTTATTGCCTTCATATCTAATCACACGAGTGTCTTTTTAATGCAAAAACAATAATAGTTATTTTTTCATCGGTTTATTATTGTTGTTGTTTTAGTGGTATAAAATATAAGAAAAAAAGTTCTTGGAATACTGCAGAGGACTATCAGTAAAAAAAAAACCCGCTCCGTACCGTTTACATCAAGGCGACTCTCGCGGGAAACGGTTTATTTTTCACTCTTTGAACTCGCCGTGATTTTATAATCTTTTTTAATTTTGTAGTTAATTTAATTTCAATTAATGCATAAAAAGTATGGAATATATTTTTGTGTTGCAATATTAAATAAATAAATTAAATCCTGGCGTTGTTTATACAAGTCATATAAAAAATAATATTTTGTCCCCATGTTGGGACAAAAAAGCACCCGGAAATTGTAATTAAACACCCCGGATAAATGATATTTAAAAAAAAAATCTAATTTGCTAAGTTGGTAGGAATATCCTTAATTACTATGCCAAATATCGGTAGTCGGTATAATAGTCGGTACACTACTGTAGTGCGGTGCGATTTTTACAATGGATTGAAATATCGAAGAAAGAATTGGCTAAAATTTTGTGTTTCTAACCAAAGTCTACGAGTAGTACAAAGCTTTCAATGACGGTCGAGAGATCGTTGAAGACATGTCTTGTTCTGGACGACCTTCCGGTTACTTTTTTGTCACAATATATGCACCTATATCAAGCGGAAATTACCTTAACACAAATGAAGTATAACTAAAGAAAGGATAAATTTTACTCTGTGCTGTTCTGTGCTGCTCTGCTCTCCCCTTTAGGATCTTTTATATTTGTGTAAGACCTTGCTTACTTGCCATATAATAATAAAACAACAAAGAATGTAAACAGTAATTATGAAATGGCACGGACATTCAGTAAACAGGCAAATACAAAAATGTGTAAAATTGATATACCAATGCTAGTAAAACCATTTATTGTCAGCACAAGCAATGATAATTGAAACTGCAGGCGTGCTGGGTCCAAGTGCTAAAAGATTACATCCAACGGTTTATGTTTTGTACACAAAACTATTCACACAAATACATATGTATATACGTCAGAACATACATATGTAAGTACGAATGTATGCTGCAAAAATGAAATATCTGATTTCGATGCGCACATTGAACCTCACGAGATTGAGTGCGCAGTTTTGACGCTCAGTAAATTGTAAACAGGAAATATGAGTACCTGCTGACTGAGCACATGAAAATACCAAATACAACTACTAAGTCATGTTTATAAGCACACACAAGTGTGTGGGCAGGTCACACACGCTAGTATTACGAGTGCGGCAAACCTTCCGGGAAGGTATAGGCGCATGTAACAGGATCGTGGTAAGTTTTGTGCGCTCAGTTAGACAAATGCATATACATTTTGTGAGAGAGCGTTTAAGCTGAGATTTCAAGCCCGCGTTGTGTATCGAGGAACCTACCAACCAACATGCACACAGGTCACTAAGCAATGCAGATCAGTTGATGCTAGCAGTCCACTGTCAGTCTCACACGGTAACGCTTCAGTGCGCGCGGTAGTGTTGTGCGATAAAAGCAAAAATCGTAGATATCAACAAAATAAAATATAACTTGCGGCTTCTAAACGCCGGCACTACCAAATAGTTGACTAGTTTTTGTAGTGCTATGTCTGCAACGACGAGCAGTGGCGCAAGCAGCGCGAGTGATAGTTCTGTAACGGACGGTGATACGAGTTTTAAATTTGCCAATAAAACATTGCAAGACTATGAAGTTATATCGGTGATTGGCAATGGCACCTTTGGTACGTGCTTCAAAGTGCGCGATAAGCAAACGGGCGAGCTATACGCATGGAAGGGCATTGACTATGATGAGTTGAGTGAGTCTAAGAAGGCTTCTTTGGTGTCCGAGATACGTGTGTTGCGTCAACTACAACATCCGAATATTGTGGAATACTATCATCATTTGGTTAATCATGAGGCTAAGTCGATATTTATTGTCATGGAGTGTTGTGAAGGTGGCGATCTGGCGCAGCTTATAAAGCGTGCGCGTGATGAACGTAAACGTTTCGAAGAGCGTTACATATGGCGTGTGCTCTTTCAGGTCTGTAAAGCTTTGCAGGTGTGTCACAACAAGATAAGGAAGGGCACGATACTACATCGTGATATCAAACCGGCAAATATATTTCTGGACGCGCAAGGCAATGCCAAGTTGGGAGACTTCGGTTTGGCGCGTATGTTACGCAAAAATCAGGATTTCGCTGCCACTTTTGTTGGCACACCATACTACATGAGTCCGGAGATTGTAAGAGGATCGCGGTATGATCGCAAATCGGATGTTTGGGCTGTGGGTTGTCTCGCATACGAAATGTGTGCTCTACGCACGCCCTTTCAGGCGGCGAAGTTCGATGAGCTTACCTTGAATATTTCCAACGGCAAGTTCAATCACATACCCGCCGTGTACTCCACCGATTTGCAGGAAATCATCGCTTATATGCTGTCCGTGGATAGTGAACAGCGCCCCAGCATTGAAGTGATAACGCGTCATCCGACTGTTGTGCGCAATATAACCGAATTGGGTAATGAATTTCCAACACTAATAAAAGCGGAGTCAGATTTATTTGAAGTCGATGAAATCGCCACAGCACGTTGCAAACTGCAATACAGTCCTTCCATAGACCTTTCCAGCACTATGTATACGGAGCACAATAGCTTCAATGAGGAGTACGGGCAACGTCGGTTGAGTGTCGTATTTACGCCTGATTTACGTACCGAACTGTTCTCATCTGCGACAGGGCATTTGAAGCCTAAATGTATCTTCCAACGTTCAGATCCTGAACTCTATGAAAGCATACAGCAGGAACTCTATACAAGCGTACACAATCTCACACCACTGCGACCGCCAGTACCACCGCCGAAGCCAACCTCACATGCGCGCACGTCGGCTAACATTTCTGTAGACGAGCTGAAGAGCCCCACTTTGATTTCGGAAGATGTCTTTAATGAGGCGTTGCAAGCACGTTTGCATGCCATACGCGCGCACGAGTCGCTGTTGGAACATAAAGAGCATTGCTTGAATATGCGCACGCAAGAATTAAATGAACGAGAGAAACGCCTTCAGCAGTTGGAAAGCGTGCTGCATAAACGTGAGCTTGAATTGTTGGCGCAAGAGAAGACTTTGGCCGCCGACGTTTTACAAGCAGCCGCGCGCCGAAATGATAACGCATGTTCACCCTCACCTCCCCCCATACCGCCACGAAAATCCAGTGTTAGCAAACATGATGAGACCTATTG